ATCTCAGAGACCATCTCTTCTAACATATTATCTTCTATAGTACATCGTCGATGGCAGTATCCACCCTGACCTTCCCACCGGTAACTCCCAGGCCATCATCCAGATCGCCGCCGAGGCTGCCGTCGCCCGCATCATTGCCCAGGGCACCAGCGCCACCTCTGCCTCTGCCTCTGCCTCCGTCTCCGTTGCTGCTTCCACCCAGGCCGCCTACGTCTCGACCACTTCCGAGGCTGCTGCCGCCACCGAGACTGAGACCGAGGCCGTCACCACCCCTGACGCTGTCACCGCCACCGCCGTCCCCACCTCCGGCACCATCTCGTCCACCACCGGCTCTTCCTCTTCTTCTTCCTCCGCTGGTTCCTCCAGCGAGTCGGAGAGCAGCACCGGCGCTGACGACAACGAGGGTGACGACGATGACGACGAGTACGACTGCGACGACGAGGATGATGAGGACGAGGATGACAGCAGCAGCGGCGCGATCGAGTCCGCGACCGCCAAGGTAGCCGTGGCTACCACTGCCGCTGCCGACTCGGGTGCCTCTACCACCACCGTGTGGGTGACCTCGACTGCCTGGACCACTACCACCGACATGGTGGTGGCTACCAGCACTTCGACCGTGACTGTCTGGCCCACCTATGCTTAGATGGTTGACAGTGGGGAAAGGGCGCGCGCAAACTTGGAATGAAGTCTAGGCCCGTTCCATTCTCTGTTGTGTATCTACCTATTCTTATATATAGAATTTATTTTCTTATTCTTTCACTTCCTCGGTTGAGAAATGGGCTCTTTGAACTGTAGGTCTGATATCGTGCGCGACACATCGATCAAATTAGTTGTAGTGGTTGATTGTAGGCAATCTAACTTGTATAAGATAACACTGATAGCATCGTCAAGATACTATATACAGATCCTGCCCTGCCCACTCTATGCATAGAGTATGTACTAAGCGTTTCTGAGTCTATTAGCTCATTCAAAATCTTCAAGGAATTCTCAATCTACGATGTATACTTCCTCGTATTCCCTGTGATTGGATCTTATTGCTTACTTCCTCACCGGTTGCTTTTCAAGAAGAAAATTCTCTTTTTTTATCGGTGTACCGCGGTTGAAGATTCAGTTCAGTTGTTGAGAACGACTTGCTAACTACTTACTTACGGACTAAGACTCCTCCGTACTGACCGGACGGACTAACTAGAAGTAGGCCACAATTGTTAGACTACTACCCATTGAAAAGTCCTACTATTCAGTACATGATAATGTATGAAATGGGTATTATCCTTATATATGAAGATTTTGAGACCACTGATTAATCGTTTTTGATTAACTTTCTGTTTATTTTTATTTTTATTTCTTGTTTCCTCTCCAGAAAACAGGAATGAAATGTAACTAATAAGATGGTTAGCTTAATCAGTGGACCTCTCGGTTGTGACAGCCCCACTCATATTTAACGATGTTTCCCTTGTTTCATTTTCACGTGCTGGCTGACAATAACCTGATTAAATTTACTTTCAGAGAAAGCAATTTGAGATAACAAAGTAAGTAATACCTCGGGATTTATGAATCCTATGCAGTAAATCAATTCGGCCTGCCCACGCTATATACATGCACATACATGCAATGCAATGCAATGCAATCTTCCTCTAGCTGAACCAGTCAAGTAAAGTAGGTAAGTAGATAGGTCCTGTTGATCCCGACTGGTCCATACCATTTTCTCAGTACAATTCGTTTCTCATAACATCATATACGACCCCATCATTTTCGGACCCCAGGCCTCCCACCGCCCTACCCAAACGACCCTCTCGAATCCACAGAGTAATACTTTGTAGTGAATAATCTGCAGACCCAAGAGGATCCACAAATGTTAGAGCACACCACCATCGTGGTGATCATCATGTAACCAGTCCCAGTCGTTCCCCTGGAAGACGGGATCCGCAGCGAGCATGGTTGCACTGACGTCATCTAATCCCATGTCCTCCAGCGCGTAGATGGCATTGCTGTCTGCAAAGGATACCGCCAGGTCGCTGTACATGCGATGCGCATCCACGATCAGGGGATTCACCATGGACATGGACATGCTGTCAGTGGTGGCGGCCATGGAGCAGAATGACGGTGGGAGAGATGCGATGGGTGGTGGGGAGAGATATCCCGCTGCGGTTGCTGTCGTACTCCCTGGGAGATTCGCCGCAGCTGACACTGCAGCGTACGCGCTAGCAGCAGCCGGAAGTGATGAATTGGGACTCGTCGCGCTGGTACTAGGGGAAACGGACGGCCTCGGGGCAATGGGGAGAAAGGTGGACGGAGAGGCGGAGAGTCGCGGGGATCGGCCAGCAGCTCGCTAGAAGCCACTATATCAGCCTGAACTGCACCAGAAGCCATTCATGATGGGTGAAATGAGGTGTGTAGAAGTATGGTGAACGTGTACTTTTGAGGATGAAGAAGGATGATGATGATCGGTCTCACGTTTGAGCTTGGCGTGCTCTTCGGGGCTTTCGCAGGGGGTGCAGTTGCAGATGGAGCAGGTCGCAAAGGGACGACCTTTGCGGTTGATGCGAATTAGGGGTCGGTCTTTATTTATGTATCACGCTTAGTATAGTTTTGAGAGCAGCACAATTTGGAGAAGAAGAAAGAGATGAGAATACCATTGTGTTTGCAGGTGGTCACACGGTGGCCGCGGACACAAGCTTCACACGCCCACTTTTCGCCGTCGATAAGCATTCCTTTGGATTAACGATTGAATGGTGAGGGGAGTGAGATAGGGAGGGAGTGTGGAAGAGGAGCAGATGGGCATGATGGTGGTGGTAAGTAGATGGGAGGGAAGGGAGGATTTATACGTAGAAGTGGGTGGAGGTGGTGATAGGGAAGGGAAGGAAGAAAAAATTAATTGGGAATGGAAATAATCACGGTGCGATGGAAAAGAGGGTAAACAGCTACGTAGGGAAGGAGTGTAGCTAGGCTAGCTAGACACAAGACGGGGAAAAGAGAAGGGGAGCTGGCACAGCCACGGATCGACTGCATGGATGGGGATGTCACTTCATCTCGGTTGGGAGATTAGTTAGTGGTGGTTGTGGTAGGTAGAAAGAGGTATAGCCATGAGGGATTTTAGAAGATTCGGGAGGGCAAAAAGGATGAGGATCCCCGGGTTTCGATTAGCAAGAGAATCAGGAGAGGATCAAAGTGGAGATGGGGAAGGGAAGAGAGAGAGAGAGAGAGAGAGAGAGAGGAAGAAAATCTAGAATACAGTGGTAATGGTGGTAGTAGTAAGTAGTAAGTACCAAGTAGTTAGTTAGTAGTAAGTAGTAGTAGTCATAGTAGTAGTAGGGAGGGAGGGAGCAGTACTTTTCGCTCCGACGGGCCTCCACCGTATGATATCAGCAGAATCCTACTATACTATAGAGTAAGTTAGTAGTAGAGTAGTAGTAGTATAGTAGTAAGTAATGATGGAAAAATAAACCAGGAAAAGAATGCGGCATTTTCCCATCAAGTCTTCCCGACGAGCTGCCCCATCGGTGCTAGTCTTCTACTCCCTAATGGATGGTCCAGCAAATTCCCGCATACAAAAAATACCATTTTTTTGCTCGCCAGTGCCACCTTCTGGCTCCGTCTCAATTTTCTGCCTTTCTTTTTTTTTTTTTTTTCTTTCATGCTCGGCTAGACTCATTTATTATTTTTTTTCTTGTCTTTTGTTATCGCCAAAATTGCTGCTGCCTGAAAGTTCAGGGACTTGGGACTGAACAGGAAGAAACCCTAGTCAGTTGCCTCATAACCTGCAGGACAACAATACCCCGGAAGGAAGACAACACTACATAGTTACCTTCAGACTACTACTACTAGTACCTACTAGTTACTACTTTACTGGTCTTTACCTCGGGATCACAGCATATGACACAAGCTACAACTCTCTTATCCTCCGAAACCACACACACACACACACACACACACACACACACCAGCCACCCACAACTAGTAGGAGGTGGTTAACTAATCTGGAGGTGGCTGAGCAACAAGCTGAGCTTACTTCCATCAAGATTAGTCGCAACTCGCTAACTCTCGCACGAGCCAACTGCGTGATTATTCTTCCCTCGCTATTGGCTGCGCGGATCACGGTTTGGCGGTTTTTTGGCTGCAGGATCCTTCCAGCTGCCTGCAGCTGCAAGCTGTCTTTCCCTCTCGCCGTCCGAGCTTCTCTCTTTCCTGCACGTCTGGTCTGTCACTCGGTCACCCATCCATCCATCCATCCCCGGCTAAATCATGAAAATTTTTCTTTTCCACCCGCGGCTGGCTGGAGGACTTTCAGTTAGTAGTAGCAGTCTACAAATTAGTCTAGCACTGTAAAGTAGCTTTGGCTGTAGATCCTCTTTCCGATCGGAATCTCGGAATCCCTATTTGGGTGTTTCCTGGGTTTTGATAAAACCCTTTTTTTTTTATCAGAAATAGAGCCTTGTTCCCTCTTCCTTCTTACCTGCTTTCTTTTTGCCTCCTCCTCAGTTTCAAAGCCTCCCAGACTGCCCAGTGCGTTGTACTGTGACTAACAGCTAACCTGACCTTTGGATCAATGCAATCGTCTTTTTTGTTTGCCCGTTTCTTTGGTCCACAATATGTGGTGTCTGCTCATGTGAGGCCATACAGTGCATTGCAAAGGATACTATCACCACACACCTCGTGGATAGAGAAGGAAATGAGTAGATAACACTGTCATGCCATATTCACAACGCGGCACTTCAACAACCCTATGTACAAATATCACCATCCATCCACTTACCACCCCCTGCTAGCTGTGCTGCACTGTGCACTTCTCGCCTCTCATCTACCTACTATCACCTAGGAATATGCCGGGGGATATAGACAGTAGCCAAAAGCAACAACAACGGCCAAAACCAAAACAAGCAAAAACTACAGACAAACCAGCTCCCAGGCTTCCCGATGCAATGTAACAATAACAACCAAATCAAAACAACGTATGTGAAAGGTGCAGCCTGCCTCACCCCCTGCAGGTCGTGGTAATATCATCACACCTCCTGGATGTAGTTCGCCGGTACGCTCTTCGTCACCCCGCCCCGCTCAACATCCGCCCACCCATCTCCGCCATCCCGGTTCACCAGCACGAACCGGTCGCCTTCCACCATACTCCATTCCATGTCGCTGCGCGCGTCGTAGTCATACAGCGCTTCCACATACTGGAGCTTCTTGGCGCCCCGGCGCGGTGCCACAGCTGGCCCGACCCGTTTGTTGCCCCCGGCGCCGCCGCCGCCTGTCAGCGAGGCCGAGGAGTTCGAGTACGTTGAGCCCGGCCGGTCAGCCGTGAAGCCGGGGCTGGCAGACGGCACGGGTGAAGGTGCGGGCCCAGCTTCCACATAGGAAGCAGGGACGAGTCCTTCTTCGCCGCCGGACCGCACGCGCATCCAGCCGGATCCATCTATAATGTATTGGTTAGTGTTGTCAGGGTAGAAGGTGGGAAATGGCGTACCATCTGGCTCCAGGATGACGATATCGTCCCCTTCTTGAACAGTCACCTCGTCAGCTCCGCCCGCTTGGTACGCATACAGCATCTTGCCGTGCTGCTCGTTAGTCCTGGAGCTCAGCGCCGGCGCCGCGTCGTTCGCTGGCGGACCGCTGATGTATTGTGCCGGAGGCGGTGCCAGAATGCGGTTCTTCCGTGCTGGAGCGGGTTTGGTCTCTGCGACGGGTGTGGGAAGCTCACTTGCGGTCGTGGTGGGAGACTGTGCGGCATTCGACATAGATCGGTTGGCGCTGACGGCGTAGCCGGAGCTCAGCGAGTTCATCGTGTCTTTGCGGGTAAGTGATGGCGCAGTGGATGAGCTCGTAGTTGGTTCTAGATCAAGTGGTGCTGGGGTGGCGTTGGCTTGTTCTTGTCGCTCCACTTTCAGCTTCTTCTTTTCCTCCTTGGTCTGCTCACCCGGGCACTCAGCCGGTACCTTCATTTCACATTTACTATGACAGGTGTATCCGCAGTCCCGGCAGTCGAAGCCCTTGGCGGATAATCCCCATATCCTTTCTCCACACAGGTCGCAGTTGGTCGGGATCTTGAACGTCTGCGACTTGAAATTGTGGTTGCGCGCTCCGAGCGAGAGATCGCCCACCGCCGACATGATGGTAGAGGTTTCCACCTCGGCAGTCAGGCGCCTGCGGTCAACTTCATGCAGGGACTCCTGCTGGAAGAATATAGATCGGACAACTTCTACCTCGTTGCGCTTGTCCGTGCCCTGTCGGATGCTCTCCCGGACCCGTCTGGCGGTTTCCACCTCGCGTCGCTTCGTATCCGCCTCGACTCTAAGCTCTCGCACCTGTGTCTTGCTCTTGCTGAGGAGGTTGCGCAAAAAGACCTTGGCCGCCTCGTCGGTGATGAGAGCGTCGTCGTCGTGCCAGATTGGGCTTGGCTCGAAGGTCATGTTGGCCGGCTCCTGTGATTGTGTGACATTGTGGCGCAGGAACATGAGCGAGTCTAGGTGTGGAACGTTGCGCGGAATCTCGTTGATGAGGTTTGCCATGTGGTCCATACTCTTCGACAGGTAATTCTTCTCGAGCTGTGCGGCCAATGTCCAGAGCGAGTTCAGCTTCGTTACACGTGTTTCGTTGAGGTCTTGCAGGCCCTACCCGGGATATTAGCAGATTGGATCCAACCAGTCAAAGCACACCTACATCAAGCAGCTCCGGCACATATTCGTGGTAGAATCGCTCTTTCATCTTGTTTGTCACATTAATGCTGATGAGATATGTGTTCTGCAATGCCGTCAGCAATAGTCTTTGGCATCATCGTAGTAACCGACCTTAACGTTGTTCATCTCCAATATCTGCTGTTGGTACGCTGCCTGGGCCTTAGGCTTACTGTGGTCGAACGAAGATTCCATCTTCTTCCGCCTTGCCTCCACTTCCTGGCACGCGCCATCATATTTACCCTTCGCCTTCTTCAGGTCACTGTACGAGGAGTCCCTCTCCTTCTCGAGCTTGGCATGGAAATCAACATGACACTTCCTGAGCTCTTCGTACTGGTTCGCAGCTTGTTTGAGCGGCTCTGCGACATGTACAAGCAGGTCGTTACCGAAGTGATCCCGTTCAGTGGCATGCGATTCCACGGCGCTCAATTGTGTCGACCACGTGGTAAGTGAGGCACTTTCGAGGGAGCCCGGGGTCATGCTAGGGGTGTCTCCGACACTCAAACTGCTGATTTTCTTGGCTTTGCGGTCGTAGTACTTCTTGCATAGCGCCGTTAACTTTGCCGCATACTCCTTCTCGATTGCGCTGCGCTCGCGGTAAAACTGTTGTATCTCATCCAGCCATCCGATACCATTCGACACCTAGCAAGCATTCTCTTAGTTCTCGGTGAAAAAGATTTCGGCGATCATCCGGGGTATTCAGCTGGAAGGGATAAGGAGGCGGGAAGAGGGAAGTAAGTGCCTACCCAATTGTTGACCGGTTTAAACGAATCCTGCCAAGGTCCTCGATTAGCTGGAATCTGGGGTTGATGCGACAGAGTTATGTCATACCTTCAACTCCGCCCCAAAGTGAGGGGCGACATCCGGGGTAGCCATTCTGATAGATGGTCAGCTTGTCGGAGGTCACGCCGCAGGGAGACAGGCGGAGATGCGACATGGAAGACTCAAAAATGCGTCGGCCTAGCGAGTCGCGAGTCCAACCAGCAGAGCGAATGGAGCAGCCTAACTTACCTTCCACGTGCGGAACAGCCGTTGGCGACCGTGTGTGCTCCGTAGTCCGTACAACCGGATGGTGGGTAGGGGGGGATCGGGGAACCAGGAATCGTTGCCAGGCGCGGCTGGAATGGCTGGAGAGCGATGAGGAAGCGGGGAAGATGACCATACAGGACAGCCTCTGGTTGCCTGTCAGGCCACGTTGAGCCTCCATTGCCCGGCCGGAGGCTCCCTACGTCATCCCCATTTGGGCTGGCAACCGTATGGTATCGTAAGTGGTATCCCTCCACCCTTACCGCCTCCCGATATGGTTAGACTGCAGCGACTCGGCTGCTGGCCCAAACAGGCCTAGTGTCGATTCAAGGCGGTCAGCCGCGTTGGTTTTTCGACCGTCATGGTGATGGAGCTTCCCTTAGCCATTGCTGCTTTACCTGGGTGTTGAACGATCAATCGCCCTTCCTCCTCCATCATCTAACTGGGCACTGTGGAGAACGTGTCATTCTTTTCTCGTGTGCGCTTCATTTGCTGTGTTGAGCGGTTGATTCCTGTTTCAGCGCGCTGTTGATTACCCCGCCATCTCCCCTCCGTCTGGGAAACACGAACAACAACTTGCATCCGAAACATCTTCCCTAACCCCTTATCTATACGTCCTTCACAGTTCTTCTATACATCATCAGGATGGCGTCTGAAGAACCCGCTGCCGGTTCTCTTGCGGACCGCATCACCAAGCCCGAGGAATCTGCTCCTGCCGGTACGATACTAGTCTACTTCTATGCCACCGCTCGTTTCACTTCCGTGTCACTCTCTTACCAGACCCTGCTGGACCCTGACTTATGCGATCATTTCTTGCAGAAGCTCCCGAACAGACCGAAGATATTCCTCAGACCGATGGCGCCGCCGCCCAACAGGGTGGCTCCGACCTTCATGAGCCTGACTACACCGTTGAAGTCAAGCTCAGCGATCTCCAGGCCGACCCGAACAACCCCCTTTTCTCCGTGAAGAACTTTGAAGATCTCGGCCTGTGCGTGCATCCGTCAATTTCGGTTGTTATACTGCTAAAATACGGTGCTAACCCGTTGTGAAATCAGGGACCCCCGCATCCTCCAGGGATTGTCGGCAATGAACTTCCGGAAACCCTCCAAGATCCAAGAGAGGGCCCTCCCGCTGCTACTTGGCAACCCCGCGAAGAATCTGGTCGGTCAGTCCCAGTCCGGTACTGGAAAGACTGCGGCCTTCGTCCTGAACATCCTCAGTCGCTTGGACCTCTCGTCGGAGCAGTTGCAAAAGACCCCCCAGGCGTTGATTTTGGCCCCCACACGAGAGCTGGCTCGTCAGATTGTTGGTGTCATCCAAGTGATGGGCCAGTTCCTTGATGGGCTCGTTATTGGTACCGCCGTGCCGGCAGATACTGGCGCTCGTCCCGCCAAGATGGAGTGCTCCGTCGTTGTGGGTACCCCTGGTACTGTGATGGACATGATTAAGAGGCGCATCATGGTTGCGAACAAGCTCCGCGTGCTTGTTCTGGATGAGGCCGACAACATGCTCGACCAGCAGGGTCTGGGTGACCAATGTATCCGTGTGAAGGCGTAGGTTGCTCTATGTTCACTTTTCGCGCCACGCGTGCTAACGTCTATTCAGTCTCTTGCCTAGAGATATTCAGGTCGTGCTCTTTTCGGCTACCTTCCCTGCTCACGTGCACGAATATGCGTCCAAGTTCGCCCCCCAGGCCAACGAGATCACCCTCCAGCATGAGGAGTTGACGGTCGAGGGTATTAAGCAGCTGTACCTGGACTGCTCGAATGACGAGGACAAGTACCAGACCCTTGTCAACCTCTACGGTCTGCTCACCGTCGGCTCGTCCATCATTTTCGTCAAGGTTTGTACACATCCTCTACGGCATTGCAGTTACTCTAACGCAGGATTAGACCCGTGCCTCCGCCCAGGAGATCGAAAAGCGCATGGTTGCCGAGGGTCACACCGTGGCCTCCCTGACCGGTGGCATTGAAGGATCGCAGCGTGACGCAGTCATTGACCAATTCCGTGCCGGACACGCGAAGGTCTTGATTACGACCAATGTGCTTGCCCGTGGTATCGATGTCTCCACTGTGTCCATGGTTATCAACTACGTAAGCCGTGTCCTTTACATGATGATCATGAGTTTCAATTGCTAATGATGCATATTTTGTGGATAGGATATCCCTGAGCTGCACCAACCCGGCGCCCGTCAACGACAGGCCGACTTCCAGACCTACCTGCACCGTATCGGCCGTACGGGACGTTTCGGCCGCGTGGGTGTATCCATCTCTTTTGTGTCCAACCGGGAAGAGTGGGAGATGCTCAACCAGATTCAGCGATACTTCAACACTAACATCCAGCGGATTGACACCAAGGACTGGGACGAGGTGGAAGACATTATCAAGAAGACGATCAAGAGCTCCCGTGCCCAACTCGGCTTCCGGTAGAGCGTGTCCGACAAACCCTCGACGCGACGCCGCTGTCCGATGGCGGCTGCTCAACCGGGTTGATTGGAAGAGATTGGAATAAGATATGACTATGGTGCAATGTGGATTGCTTATGAAGAGTTATGAGGATTTCTTTGTGTTCAAATGAAAGTCAGATTAATAGATACCAGTTGCTTGCTCAACCTATGGGTGTTTTGGTGGTTTCGGGTTCATCATTTCCAGCCAACCATGACATAGTTCCTTACCGGCAGCCGGACAGGGGAGGGCCATGTGACCCGGGGGAGTCTCGTGATTCGGTGTCCCAACGATGCCACAAATCGGCTAAGCATGGAAGGAGAACCCGTAGCCATGGAATCGGTCGCTCATTCATTGGAGATGATGGCCGAAGTAGCTAGTACCTCAGCTCCCTTGTAGCATTTTCGCCGCGCTTCCCCGCGGAACTCCAACCGGACCGGAATGAGGGGTCGATCATCCGCATCGCCCTCGGCGTCATCGTGCATCCGCAACTTGACCGCGAGTCGGATTGCAAAACAAAATAACCGCCGATCTGGCTGTTGTTCCATTATGATCTCGTTTTAATTAGCAAAGACAACCGGTATGATAGACCAGACAACCATGGTTCAGTCTACGCCTGACCCAAACCGGGGATAGATAAGGCCAGGCCCAGGGGGCGTGAACGATAAGGAGGCAGTGCGGAGAATGAGGGAGAGATGAGGCCGTAAGATTGAGATTCGGGCCCAAAGTCACATGCAGCTGGCATGCAGCGACACCCATCGTCGCCCTGTTTTCTTGTCCCCTCCTCTCCTCATTTCATCTCGCTCTTCCCTCTTCCCTTCTTCATCCTCTTCATCCCATCTCCCCTGTTTCTTCACAGCCTATTCCTTCCCCGCATCGTCATCCAGCACCATGTTGGAGACCGATACCTCCATCAAGCCCACGTCCGACGAGGCGACAGCCCAGTCACCGACTACCCCAACCTCGCCGACTCACTCCAACTCTCGTTACAGTACGCATATTGTGGTAAGTTTGTGGAGCAGTGTCCGACTGGGGTGGGCAAGAATACTTACCCTGTGAGCTAGTTGACCACCTACCCCGGCCAAAGTGGCATCGACCCCATCCCGCTCGAATGGGGCGCCCCAGATGCTAAATCCCGCGGCCCCGTCGTTGTCTCCCGTAGCTCCGCATTACTCAAGCGGCGGAATGCTATGGGCGCACATGGTGGCAGTTACAGCATCTACAACGCCCTCGCCATTGCCGCCGGTGATTTGGAACCGAACTTCCGTCCTGACCTCAGCAACAGTCAACCTACATTCAACTTCCCATGGCAGCCTGCCTGGGCCGACAAGACCAAGATTGTGTCTATGGACCCATGGGGACATGACATTGTTAACCAGTTCCGGGACGAGCTAAGCAAGGGCTGGGATATCCGCCCCACAATGGCGGTGACCCGCGCGAACATGAACTTTGCGGAGATCGCCGACGCGGTGAAGGAGGGGAAACTTGATGTGGACGGTTCCATTGTGGTTGACTCCTCTGGTGAAGTGCGCGTTACCAAAGTCGCCGTCGAACCGGTCTGGTATCTGCCTGGTGTTGCAGAGCGGTTCGGAGTTGATGAGGGGACGCTGCGACGGACACTATTTGAGCATACGGGCGGAAGTTATCCCGAGCTGATCACCCGGCCCGATCTGAAGATCTTCCTCCCTCCCATTGGAGGTCTGACGGTGTATATCTTTGGGCCACCGGAGCGGGTGTCCGACGAGAATGTGAAACTAGCATTGCGTATTCACGACGAATGCAACGGCAGTGATGTCTTCCAATCGGATATTTGCACATGCCGACCGTACCTTGCATTTGGTATTCGGGAGGCGATTCGCGAAGCCCAGAGTGGAGGCAGTGGAGTGGTCATCTACTTCCGAAAGGAAGGTCGGGCCTTGGGTGAGGTGATCAAGTACTTGGTCTACAATGCCCGCAAGCGCGGCGGCGATACTGCCGACAAGTACTTTACGCGGACGGAGAACATTGCCGGTGTTAGAGATGTAAGCTGTTTATACCAAACCTCAAAATAGAACCTCAGACTAACTTTGAATCTAGATGCGCTTCCAAGCGCTGATGCCAGACATCTTGCACTGGCTCGGCATTAAAAAGATCGACCGCATGCTATCCATGTCCAACATGAAGCACGACGCCATCGTCGAGTCGGGGATAAAGATCCTAGAGCGAATTCCGATCCCAGACGAGATGATCCCTCAGGATTCGCGCGTCGAAATCGATGCGAAGATCAATGCTGGATACTTTACAACCGGGAAGAATGTCACAGCAGAAGACTTGGCTGCTGTGCGTGGACGCGGATGGGAGAAGTGGGAGGACATCACGGTATGTTCTGTCATTAGAATGGACCTTAATGAGGACCCTGCTGACAAGTCTAGCACTGATTGGGGTTTCAACCTACATTTAACGACGAACTATGAAATTTCGGGTGCATCATTACAGTTTGGCTGGTGACGACGCATGGCTTGCGCAGCATTACGGGTTATGGAGCGACATTTGCCTGCATGAGCTTTTAAATATAAGAGATGTAGAAAATAAAAAAAAAAAAGGTCAAAATGGGCAACCATCTATTGCCTGGTATATCGGAAAGGGTATATAGTATCAACTATCGTAGTATACACCACCCACAGGTCCAACTGACCTCCTCATTCTATACCATCACTCTCATTTGAAATCCTTGTGCCTCCTTCATTACCCACACCGCCATGATCCCCCTTCAACGCCACCCCGGATAACATATGGAACTTCTTTTTCCGTTTATCTTGTAGTCATTATCAGCACATTATACCCTTCCAAGACTGAAATAATATACTCACCAGCGTAGACCTCTCTCACACCCCGCGTTACAACCGTAACGCACGCAGCTAAGATCCCCACATTTACCTCCACCACAGCCCACAGAGCTAGTAAACTGAACTCATGCATAAAGGATAATCTGCTCTCTTCCTCACTGCTGTTGTATGACACGATGATAGTGAAATATGTCCTTGCGATAGAAATGGCAGTTACACTATCCATCACTTTCATTAGTACACACACCTGGAAAAGGAACCTAGTATGAGAAGGGAGAGACAGGACATACTAAACCCCCACAACGTAAAGACATATCATCCCTATCTTTTTCCCTATCCGCATATTCAACCCAGCAATAACGAAGATAGGAATGATTGTGATTAGTATGTTTGTGATGAGATCGGTGATTGTATACACCGTTAGTAGAATACCCCTGTTTGCGCTTGCGCAGGTGTTACTGTTATTAACATCCTCTATCGATGACCAAATACGAGAAACATGCCCCCCGCACTGGAGGGTCGTCGCGAGGATGAATGCGACCATCCATACCGCCACGGCACCAATGAGGAAAGTACATAGTCGATGAACAGGATGGGTACTGAAGACGCGTTTCCACAGAGTGAAGAAACTCAGCTTGGTCAGGCCGAGGGCGATGATCTCGATGACTTGAAGGGCGAGTTGATATTTTCTTGCTGCGACTTCAGTTTGAGCTGTCGGTTTGGTGTGGTTTGCGATGATGTCGCGGGATGTTCCTGCTAGTAGAGTACTGTTGTATACCAGTGTGAATATCTGTTTAGGATGTTAGATACTAGTACTTTGATGCAACATAGCTAGTTGGCTATTGGGCAGTGCTGGGCTTACTTACCAGTGCAGCAAGCGCTAGCCAGTCATCTGCGAGTAGGTCCAGTCGCGCTAGTCTTCGCGCGTAGAATCGAAGCGTCACGGCAGATAGAGAAGTCACGGTAAATACTGAGGTTACTGCCAGGAGTGCGGTGGAACTCGGGGCGCTGGGAATTGTCCAGTCGTGAGCCATGGCCGGCTGATGTCTCGTATCCTGGCTTTCGCCAGGATTGGTGAGCTAGGGTTTGGTGTCTCTGGCGACAGACGGAAAATATCTAGGGGATCATGATAGGAGCCATGGGTTTCGGTTACTATCGTTCAATGTGAGTGTCTATCGCGTGCTTGAAAGTGACTTCGTAAGATGAGGACATTTGAGGAGAGCTGCGGTGCAGCAGGATGACGGCGCTAAGACTAGGCTGAGGCGCTGCTGTGGCTGATGTTGGACCCTTGCAGTTGGGGGCCATTTCTGCATTGCTTCTTTCTATTTTGAGTATACGGTGTTTAGTAGATGGAGGTTAGATCATGCTATCTGGTATTTAGGTTCAACGTTGATCATGCTCTAGTATTTGGAAAATGTGAATGTGGTGGGTGCAAGTACCACTGTTCTCAGGCTATATATTTAACAGTAGTTGCCACCACCGTTGCAGCCACTACAACGCAACTCAGTGGAGTCCGGCGCATATACTAACCATGTTTAAATCCAAATAACCGCCTCATCAACCCCTCAGTTGTAACCCCCGCACCCACTCCGATATCGTTGAGTGTCAAACAGCATTCGGACTGATTGCCCGCTGATAAGTGTTCGGGAAGACATCCCGACCGGATTCTTTTCCGTCCCCGCAGCCTTCAAGTATATAATCAGCTTCCCACCAGCACGTCATTGACAGAATACTCACTCAATTGATACCCTTATTTCCTATACACACCACTTAGAATTGATAGGACCTCAACATCATCATGGGCTCCTCCGTCACCGTCACCCCTCAACCTCGCATCCCCAAAGCCGGCGTCTGGTGCCCCGCTGTGACCTTCTTCGACCATAGCACCGACACCCTCGACCTCGATGCCCAGAAGAAATACTACCAGTACCTCTCCACGACCGGCCTGGCCGGCCTCGTCATCCTCGGTACCAACTCCGAAGCTTTCCTCCTCACCCGCGAAGAACGCGCCCAACTCATCGCCACGGCCCGTGCCGCCGTTGGCCCCGACTACCCCCTCATGGCCGGCTGTGGTGCTCACTCCACCAAGCAAGTGCTCGAATTGGCCGAAGACGCCGCCGCCGCGGGCGCAAACTACATCCTCGTCCTGCCTCCCGCTTACTTTGGCAAAGCCACGACCCCGGCTGTCGTGAAGCGCTTCTTTGCTGATGTCGCACGCAAGAGTCCCCTGCCCGTCGTGGTGTACAACTTCCCGGGTGTCTGTAACGGGGTGGATCTGGACTCGGAGACCATCACCGCCATCGTGCGCGAGTCGACGGCATCGAGCGGTAATGGGGTCTCGAACGTGGTGGGTGTCAAGTTGACCTGTGGGTCGGTGGGCAAGATTACCAGGCTGGCGGCCACCTTCTCCAAGGAGGAGTTCGCGATCTATGGTGGTCAGTCAGATTTCTTGATCGGTGGTCTGGCTGCGGGCTCTGCTGGGTGCATTGCTGCTTTTGCCAATGTGTTCCCCAAGACGGCGTCGAAGATCTATGACCTTTATGTCGCTGGTAAGATTCAGGAGGCAGTTGAGCTGCAGCGCCAGGCAGCGCTGGCAGAGAGCCCCTGCAAGAGTGGAATTGCTGCCACCAAGTACGCAGCTGCAATCTTCTCGGCTCGCGCGGCAGGTATTGAGGGGGCAGAGGAGAAGCTGAAGCCCCGGACACCGTATGAGGAGCCGGCGGAGGGTGCGAAGAAGGGAGTACAAGACTTGATGAGCGCGGTGGCAAAGGTTGAAGGAAGTATATAAATGTACCTGTCAAAATATGAAGATATGAATATGCGATGCGAACCATAAAATATTTTACCCCAGATTTGGACCGACCAATCACCTGATCTGTTTGCTTTCGTTGTCTGTCCAGCTTTACTCGTCTTTACTGCCTTCCCAAATCCCCTCTCCTCGATGTCTTTCGCATAGCCCTGTTTGAAATACCATATTAACATCAGTCGAAAGATAAAGGCCTTACTTCTTTCCTCGCCCTAAGTGAAAATGGAAGATTTCGCACTTTACCACGAAGCAATGATTGCAATCGTATTGAAGTCACATGCTATCCCAGATCGCAGCTCAGCCACGTTGTGACAAGTGACGATCCCTTGCACTGCCACTCTTACTATCTCTCTCACATCCCCACACATAACTCTATCACGATACTTCTTCTGCATCCGCCCACAGTTCAGTTTAATGCAGAACTATACAGTAATATATCCACTCTTAAGCTACTCCTCCACTTATCTTACTTATGGGCCTCCAGAAACAGCTATGGCTCGGAAAGCCCATTCCCTGCTCAAATATATTCCCGGGGCTTCCCCAAAGATAAATGGGCGAAAAGAAAAGTCCAAGGAGTCGTTGGAACCCACCAATCGCCAAGACAGCCCTGATTCAAGATGCATCTTTGTACTCGAAGATCCAGCCGATTTCCCGCGCTGGAAGGGCATAATCGAGCGATTACTCCAGGTGCGGTATGACCTTGCTGATGGAAATACGTCAACATATCTTAGGAAGGACTACAATTTCTTATGGGAATATGTACCGCGTCACTTCCATCACCACTTCCCTCATTCGAGAGAGTTGGGCAGTTGGGTGGCTGAAGAGCTGTTTTCGACGCTTTGGGAAGCTGTCCATGAATGGGCCGTCAATTGCACTATTTGCGGGCTTGTCAGACGCAAGGTCCTCTCAAATCCACTGGATCCCGTTAAGGCCAGAGAACACCCCACGAGTCGTTTTCTTCTAAAGTCAAAGGGCGGAAAGCGTTGCCAATATTGCAGTTTGGTTTATCAGTGTCTCCAAGGCTATTACCCATCATTCGAGACGCATGAAAACACTCTGGTGGTAGGAATCTATCCAAATACCGGTGGTTTTTCCCTTCTTATCAGAAATACTCAGACAACCTCCTGGATAGAGTCCACATTATGGGCCGAAGCCTTTTCTGGTAAGTAACGCCATTCGCCAATACTGGAACTAGCAAATAATGATGGCATCTAAAAGAAAGCAAGAAAAAGGAAATAGACGATCACCAAGCCGCCTCAGTGTTTGACACAGCAAGCGAAAGCTCGTTTCAGTGGATTCTAAACAGCTTACCTCTAGTTAATGATGACCTGACACTGTCTAGTTTCATGCCTAGACGCTTGATAAATGTAGGAGATCGCGCCTCAACCCCAGTTCTCGTGGACCGGCCAGAAGAGATATTCCCGTACTGTGCTTTGAGCTATTGCTGGGGTCCTACCCAAGCCAATCTGAAGACCACCAAAGACACCTTAAAAAAACACTATAATCATATTGATAAGGAGCATATGCCAAAGGTTAGTTTTGCTCAGATTTTCGACCGGACCTTTCAAGATTAAGAGACTGATATTTCTCCTTAGACAGTGCAAGACGCAGTTGAGGTCTGTTGGCGTCTTGGAATAAAGTATCTTTGGGTTGATGCGCTATGCATTATCCAGGACGACGCAATAGGAGCTGACTGGTATGAGCAAAGCTCAGAAATGGACCAAATCTACTCCAGCGCACATGTAGTGATTGCAGCAGATACTGCTGAGGATTGCTCTGAAGGGTTCCTGGGAACTTCTCACATTCAACAACTTCGAGAAGTCACTGTTGATTGGGACGGCGACACATACATCTGTCGAGAAAAGCCGAACGGCCAGCGTGACGATCCTAGCTTTCTTCTAAGCCGAACACCACTCTCGCGGCGCGCTTGGACACTACAGGAAACGCTTCTTCCCAGTCGAGTTCTCCATTACACAGGCACGGAGATTGTCTTACGGCTTGGCGACACCTTCTATTGCCAATGTGGCGAGTGCAGATTCCATCACGTCGGCATCAACCAGTCAGACTGGCACCAAATTGTCTCCCACTATTCCTTCCGCCAAATGACCAAGCCCTCGGACAAGCTAAGTGCCTTATCTGGACTAGCAGCTCGTATGTCAGACGGAGATAGGGAGTATCTCGCAGGGTTGTGGTCAGACACATTGGTCACAGATCTCCTCTGGCACGTAACCGGATCTGGACTTCATGTGCGACCTGACCCCTGGAGGGCCCCGACGTGGTCCTGGGCCTCGATTGATGGAGGCATCAGTTACTTCACTCGCTTCTCATACTACGACTTTCTCCCCGCATTGGATATCGTGCAAGCCGAGTGCTCATGCACAAGTGTGAATATTTTCGGCCCGGTTTCCTCGGGATTTATTGACTTGAGAGGTAAGCTTGTCCCCGTCGAGATGGTCATCTTGGATAAGCCCTTTAGCAAGCACCAAGGCGAGTACACTGGCGAATGGGGACGAACAACCCGCGTCCATCAAGGCCAGACATCACTTGTACGAGGGTGGGGTACAGATATCTATGAAGTTCTGTGTGACGAGCGCATGGAGCAGACAGATAGAATGGGTGAAGAAGACAGCGAGACTTGGGCTCAGGGCATAGTGGATCGACAAGACCTAGGCGGGATAGTGGCAAGTAATATCTACTGTCTGGAAGTTGGAACGATTATAGATCGTGTAATAGATGTGGATGGTTTCACTGCGCTAGGTCGGAGTTCTAGGGTCTGGTGGCTTGTGTTGAAGAAAGCGGAGAAAAGGGATGAGTTCAAAAGAGTGGGAATAGGTTATAAAAGTAGCAAGGATTTCAAGCGTGACTGTGACCTTTTCGATTCTGCGGAATGGAGTACAGTGCGTCTAGTATAGAACGGGAAACACAGAATCAAATTACCACCTTGAATGCTCATCGTTATATACTAATATATACCTACAACTGAATATATTGGGAATTGATTCTATCTGAGATGCAGGTTAGACTGACCACTACACAAGTCTTCATATCAATGATATCGCTCTAGCCAATCTTGGCACCAAGTTCTATTACTGTACAGACCTCGATCTCTTCACTGCTTCCCGAACATCCTGGAGTCCTCTCCTCTGCAGACCATCTTCATCAAAATTCTCCTTCTCCAGCCACTGCTCCAGCGCTTCCTTAGCCCCCTCCTCCCAGTCATCGCGCACCATCGCAAACCAAGCGGTATCCCGACTTCGACCCTTAATCACCATATGCTGCCGGAACGTACCCTCATAGACGAACCCCAACCGCCGGGCCGCCTTCTGGGACGTGGCATTCAGCGCATTGCATTTCCACTCCACACGGCGATAGTGCAGCTCCTCAAAGGCATACCGCGCTAGCAGACAGATCGTCTCAGTGGCAGCCGCAGTGCGTTGCAGCACCGGGGAGAACATGACACTCCCGATCTCCACGGTCCAATGTGCGGGAGTGATTCGCATGAGCGAGAGGAATCCGATGGCTTTGCCGTAGCTGGGGCTGGAGGCACGCTCGTCGATCACGGCGAAGTAGAACGGATCGGTAGATTCGGATCGGGAGGTGATGGATTGCTCGAAAGCTGAGCGCTCGGGGAAGGGTCCGTCTAGCATGTAGTCCCATAGCCAGGCGAGTGCCGGGTCGTCTCCGCCGATTAGGTCCCAGAGGTCGTGGGCATGTTTGGGTTGGAGCTTCTCGAGCCGGATGTATCGCCCGCGGAGGACGGTTGGCGATGGCCATTGGGCGGGGGTCAGATCGACTGGCGGTCCAAGCGGTCGCGTAGTGGTCATGTTGTAGGACCGGGGGTTTCACGGTTTATGGGTGGGTAGAAGCGATGCCTTCGTCATGATGGGATAGGAGCATGTGTTGGAGGATTTATTTCGTCTGTAGTCATCTTATTGAACAGTCATACATCCTTGTTTCTCTCCCCTCCAGGAAGTGAGAGTCGTTCTGATTCGGTGGAAACACCGACAATCCGCGGTTGACGTCCACATTGATTGGTCTATATTGTCCGCATGGGCCCATTTGGAGGCTTGGCGTTTACACCCGGTTCCTCAGGCATGACTCATCCTGTTTCTTGCCTGCAATACAAGGCATTCATTTCGGAATATACTGGCAGCATTCTCCGGGATTCGTTCAGAAGCGTTTGGATGTCTCAAAATTGAACGACTAGGAAGCTGAGTGCAGTAGGATGATGTGATGAACTATTCTACTAGTCTATCCAGGCTGCAACTTCACTGCTATATGGTATGTTGAGCTCGCTTGGTCCTTGGGACCTATATTTGACCCCATTTCTGCTCAGGCATCAACTATATCCCGGGAGTGGCCAAACATCTATCGGCAGGGCCTCACCCACATAGGACAACCATGCCAGCGTCGATGATAGTACTGCTGCTTGTCGACAGTGCGACAGTTATCATGTAGATGGCTTATTCACCCACGAATATCCGTTGGCATAGAATCCGGCGAGGCATCTGTAACCTCCCATGTCTTAGATGAACATTGCCGGATTCGACCAAGCCAACAGCAGTCAACAGAGTGTCGGGGGCAATGTGCAGATAGCGCCAACGGAGAAGAACGCGTTTTCACAAGTCTGAGGCAAGACCATGACTTCTGTCGTTGTCATCCCAACATTCACATGTGGATCTCGGCGCAGGCATGTCTCATGACTCGCAGTTGTATCCATACACAAATCCCACTGTAGCAGGTTTTCCGCTGTAACCGAACAGCCACCGGGATGGAGTTGGTCGCGATGGCGCCTCCTGTAACTTGCACCTGTGCTTAGAGCATGGCCATAGACCCAACCCAATGGAGTTTTGCTTCGTATCGGCCCCTGCAGACAGCCAACTCAGTCCGCACGTTTCGAAGTTAGTACGTTCCTGGTCTCAAGCAGCTATGGTGTTGTTGCCAGCCCTCTCCCCTGTGAGACCCAGAGGATGGACGCTCTCATCAGAAACACATTTGTCTGTGACGAAGACAGAGTGAGGAAACCAACGAGGAGATTCTTCAGATGTTATTTGATTCAGTTGGCCATGACTTTAGTAAGACAGAAGATTCTCCAACGCGTGGGGAATGTGGTTCTCGACGGGGTCCAGTTCTCACGGTCGGGCGACTGGCGTTGGTTTCGGGCTCCATCACGTCTTATGAGACGCTTTTCTTAGCAACGAGCGGTCGGACGAACTGCCCACGACGAGTAAGAAAAATAGAGGTTCCGTCGTAAATAAATTGAAGGGTGGAAACCCATCTATATGGCGTGGTGGCTGTCAGGGGCAGCCGACAATGGGCCAGTGGGACATTCCCCCGCTGGGGTCCACCCACGGCTTTCACTGGCAGACAAGCATTCCTGGTGGTTTCAGCACTCCAAGACATTTGGATTCCGTTGCCGCTTGGAGTCCTGCCAAGCTGTCAGCTGGCTATACTCATAGCCGCCAAGGTGAGAGGGGGTTATGTTTCGACGAAGAGAAGACAAAGATGCAGAAATCTTCAGGTGTGGTTTGTTTAAGTTGGCGCTGACTGGGATCGTCGATTAGACTCATCCCTGTTGGACCCTAATCAGCTAACAAAGCTGATTAGCGCGCATTTCTGTTCCGCACAGGCAGCCATTGCATTGCTAATAAACCCTATACTAGGTATTATTAACCCCGAATTTCTATTCAATTTTCGACTCCCTTGGACTGCTCTCGGTTGAGGGGATTATTACGAGATTATTTGTCACCCAGAACAAGAATAGACAGAGGCAACCAGCCCTACCCGTGACCCACGCCTCACCCCCAGCCAATTTGATCGTGAAACCAAGACCGTTAAGCCAGGCGCCGGTCGCTTTCTTCGCCCGATTGATTGGACGAGGGATCACCGGCTGGCTTGGGCCTCGGTAGCCACTCTTCTTGCGCGTCTCGAGTTGATGAGGCAGTAGAGCTGTCGACTGCCCGCCACTGACTCGTCTCGGCACTCTCTCCACCCCTTGCATGCCCTCCCCCCCAGCCTATCATGAAGATTCAGAATTCAGTAAAGGCTTTCACTACTCTGCACCACCCCCGCTGACAGGGTCGGTCATCTGCTTTATCTGGCGCTCTGATGGCATCCCGACCACCCTGTCATCTCCGCCGATCCGTTTGCGCCTCCATGTAGTTCTTTACTTAGTAGATAGTATTTGACCGGCGAGATCCGCTCGTTCTCCATCCCGGCTATCCTTGCGTCCATTCTTTCTCTTCTCCATTCTTTCGATCGCTAACTTTATTTTTATCTCTGTTTGCAGTCCTTCATTTGTTTTTCTCCTTCTCTTCTTGCCTCCAGCTAGGGTAATTGTTCTCTTTATGCCATTGTGGCTGGTCCACTCAGTTGACTTTTTACTTTGCATCTTTTCGTTCTCTACACGCTGGGATTCGTCCTTTCATTTCTCTTCCCATTCATTGTGACCCTAACACCGATCCACCATGGACTCCGACTTGTGGTATTCCATGCTCAATGACACCCTCTGCTATGCCAATCTCTGGGTGTTGGCCTGTATGATTGTGGTTGTCTTCGCCTGGCAGTCCTCCGGCCGTCTCTCTGCCCACCTGCGTCGCCTCGCCAGTTTTACCGACCACCGCCAGACCTACCATCGCGTTCCCAATTTCCATGTGGCCTGGTTGAAGAGACACCTTTTGGATGCGCCGCTGCTGCGCTCTCGCCATAACCAGGAATGGCAGCTCTCCCGCGCCGTCAACATGGGCACCCTGCCCAGCCGCTTCCATACCCTGCTCCTGACCGTCATCGTTGTCATGAATATTGTGCTGTGCACCAACACTGTGCCTTATGGATCGAAGGAATCAACTGTTGCGGAGCTTATTCGTAACCGAACTGGTTACATGGCCACCGCCAATCTGTTCCCCCTACTGGTCATGGCTGGCCGCAACAACCCCCTGATCCCGCTTCTGCGCGTCTCGTACGACACCTGGAATCTGCTGCACCGGTGGTTGGGCCGCATTGTTGTGTTGGAGGGGCTGGCCCATGTCATTGCCTGGGGTGTGCCCAAAGTGCAAACCTGTAGGTCTATTCCAGCTTCCTAGGTTCTAAAGGCTAATGTTGAGCAGATGGATGGTCAACCGCACTCGGCACCTTGTCGAAACCCTTCATGTTCAATGGTCTCATGGTACGTCCCCACGTCTCCTATTAGAAGGCAATAGCTGATAACTTGCCCTATAGGGGATGGTGGCGATGCTCGCCATCCTGGTTCAATCCCCTTCTCCCATCCGACATGCCTTCTACGAGACTTTCCTCCACCTTCACATTGGGCTGGCCTGTGTGGCTGTGGGATTTCTCTGGCATCATGTCTACCGTTACTCCTGCCGTTACTATCTTTATGCCGCCATAGCCTTCTGGGCGTTTGAAGTGAGTCCCCCTTGCAGCAGATACTTGGTCCGAAATTAGAAACATCGGCTAACTGCGGCTCAGCGACTTGCGCGGTTGCTGATTCTGATCTACCGCAACTATGGCTTTGGTCGCCGCACAACCGCCTATCTGGAGGCGCTGCCTGGCGATGCCGTCCGCGTCACTCTGCAACTCGCTCGTCCCTGGACCTTCTCGCCGGGCCAGTACTGCTTCGTCTACATCCCGAAACTCGGAGCCTGGACCTCGCACCCCTTCTCCATCGCCTGGGGCGAAACCGGCCAGACCTTGCTGGGGTCGTACAGCGAGAAGATGGCCGAGGTGGAGATGGGCAATGACCACGGCCACCCTGGGCTGGAGTCTCGCAAGGTCAATACGGTTTCCCTGCTCGTGCGACGTCGGACCGGATTTACAGACAAGATGTTTACGGAAGCATTTGCTTACGCCCGCACCCGCTTGCCCCCGGACACGATCAGCACTTCGCCGCGGTCAACTACGACGGATATCTCCACGGCAGCCATGCCGGTCACTGCTTTTGTCGAGGGACCCTATGGCAACCTCCACTCGCTTGACTCGTACGGCACTGTTCTCCTCTTTGCCGGTGGAGTGGGCATCACACACTGCCTGCCATTCATCCGCCATTTGGTGCAAGGATACAGCGATGGCACCGTCGCTGCCCGACGTGTCACTCTCGTATGGGTCATTCAGTCCCCAGAGCACCTGGACTGGATCCGACCGTGGATGACCACGATACTCGGCATGGAAGGCCGGCGCGACGTGCTGCGGATCCAGCTGTTCGTAACGCGCCCGAGAAACCCCCGTGAGATCAGGAGCCCCAGCGCGACCGTGCAGATGTTCCCGGGCCGGCCAGATGTGGGCACGCTCGTCCAGATGGATATTGACAATCAGATCGGGGCCATGGGCGTGATGGTCTGTGGCAATGGTGGCCTGAGCGATGATGTCCGCCGGGCTTGTCGACAGCGCCAGGGCCGTACCCAGTTGGATTATATTGAGGAGAGCTTTACCTGGTGATTCATTGCCCAACGCGCCTGTACCTATATAAATTTATTTTCGATTTGTGACGTGCCAAGTAGATGAGCAGAATAGACCGTTGGCCGTCAAACTAACAAGCCGTAGCAAACCTAACTACCTTTACTAACAAATCACAGGGTCATCCGTTTCTGTGCGCCACGAGAACTGCTATTTTCCAGTCCAGCATCAACTGTAGACATCCACGCCGCAGCCGATGATAATGAACAAACATACCAAACATACACAGTGAAAAAAACAACATACTAATTCGAGCTAGTCCTGCCTATACATCACTACTAATCCTCCCCATCATGCACCACCTTCCTCGCATACCCCAACCCAACCTCACATTGATACCGCCTAAACTGCCTCGTCGGCACCCTCGCCGCAAACATCTCATCCAGCTCCTCAAAGCTCCTCCCCTTCGTCTCAGGCAGTTCAAAGAACAAAATCAACATTGTGACAGCTCCCATGCCCGCAAAGATCCACCCGATCAATCCCCCTAGATCCGCCTCGTCACTGTTATATAGGTACGGCATCGCCACGTTCCACACCGTCGAGAAGAAATAGTTAAATGTGAACCCGATGGCTAGTGACTTGGCGCGCAGTCGCACTGATGACACTTCACCTGCAATGGCCATTGCTGGGCCGATGGCGGGACCGTAGACCCACCAGGAGAGTTCGAGGAAGATGCCGACCACCCTATACTTACGTTAGTATCCACCTGGAGAGAGGCAAAGGGGATGGCAAACCATAACGCCGGACTCGAGCGTGGAAAACACCCTGCAATTCCCATAACCGTGAACAGCGTCGTCGAGAGCCCAATGCCGAACATGACCAACGCCCGTCGCCCACACACTGTCATCACGTACCCCGTAATCAATGAACTGGCAATTCCAAAGGCAATACCTATTTCCGTCATCATTCCCGTCTTAGCAGAGGACATGCCCGCTTGTACGAGAAAGTACGGCCCGTTAGTCATGAAGCTGGACCCAATCACCTGCGACAGAGCATTGCAGTAGAGGATGATCCGCGTGCGGCGCCAGTTGACTCCCTTGAAGCATTCCAGGAAGCTGGCCTCCTTGGCTGCTTCATTGCGTTGTTGCTCTTCTTCGTGTGTGCGGACTATGTCTGCCAGAATGAGCGGTGACTCCGACGCTGGGTTGCCTAGTCGGGATAGCATGCGGCCGGCCTTTTCGCGTTGCCCTTTCATGACGCAAAAGTATGGGGATTCGGGTATGAATGGGAGGAAGAGGAGGATGACACCGGGCCAGACCCAGCCGGAGGCAAAGAGCACCTGACTTGTCAGTTTATGAGGTTAGATGAGGCATATGGGTGATGTACCTTGTATGCAGTATCAGTGGACATTGCCATGCGAGGAAGCGCCACAGATGCGGCGATCAGATATCCCAGATTCTACGATATCCATTGTCAACATCACTGTATCTTGCTGATCTACTCGGCGGAAACATACCATGCAAAAGGTATACCCCGAAAGAGCAATACCTCGCACCTCAAGCGATGTAATCTCCGAAATATAAGTTTGCCCCGTGGTCAGAGCCAGACCCAACGACAAGCCATTGACAATCTTCCCCGCGAGAAACGCGCCCGGTGTCGACGCCGTATACACGACTGCAATGCCAGCGGCAGATAAACATGCCGCGACGAGGAAGGCTGCTCGACGTCCGAATCTGTCCTGGATGGGACCCGCAGCTGTTGATCCGAGCATCGTCGCGACTTGAGAAAGGGCGTTCCACAGGGACTGCCAGTATGCGGGGATCACATATGAGCCGTTCGTGAGCGTGCCAAATTTTTGTCTGTAAAGTCATACCGTAAGCGACTGTATAGATTCTTACCTATGCTACACTGGGGAACACTCACTCAAAAGCAGTCATGGACAGTGCCAGCGACAGAACCAGGTTATCGAACCCGTACATCAACGCGCCGATATTTCCATACAGACAGAAGAGGACCACGATAGGATTCGCTCGGAGTGCCTGCCATGTCGAACGGCCATGCTGGCTAGCCGGGTCGTGGATCTCCAGTGTTCCAGTGTCTGGTCGACGGACCTGCTGGTCCACCACCTCGAGATGGCTCGACTCCGACTTTTGGTCGGTGGACATACTGGCACTCAATTATGAACTCTGCTGCTGACCAAGTCCTGGGTGTGCTGCAGTTGATGATGCCGGACATGCAACGAGGCGTGGGGGAAATATAGCTGAAACCTTTGCCCCATTAATGGGCAGGGGAATGACCAGGGCCCTAGGCAGGGCGGGTCTACCCCATGGGGTAACCTAGCAGCCTGGGAGGACTCGAAAGCAATCAGAACGTCTTCCGAGGAAGCGGAAATGCCGGACCCTCCTTCATGTCGGCAATTCCGGGCCTGGATCGACAATTAGGGGGCAAGCTTTCCATGGAACAGAACGCTGGTTCAGTGCATCTCCACGCGTTCTGCAGATCAGCTTGGGCCCGAGGTGGATGAACTTTCACAAGTTTCATGCCTGAATCCTCCTTTGAGGTAACTCGACCACGTATTCTCATTACAGTATCACGGTAGAAGACCTGGCTTCAAGGATGTATTGTAGGTACAATCCCATTGAATGGTTTTTTAATGCATATACAATTCTACTACGTACCACAACATCCCTACTCAGCAAAAATGACAGGCTCCCCAGGACCCAGTACCCTCTCAACTACCCGACCATCAAGCACAATCTCCACATGAATCTTACTCGTCGCCTCGACACTTAGCGGCTCCCCCGGGGCCCACTGCACCTTAATATTCCCCCGAGAGGTATGCAACAAACCATCAGCTGCAGCCACTAATCCTCTCCGAGGCTCGATACGGACCCGCTCAAAGCCTGGCTCGGCAGGCTTCACCCCGAACAGCTGTGTGACGATCTCGTTCACCGGACTGGCGCTCCACCCATGACAGTCACTGCGGGCGTTCACCTCATCCTCCGCCCATGTCGTTAAATTATTGGCCATCATGGACCGCCATGGATCTAGCATGCTGGGAAATAGTTCGCTGTATATGCCTGTCTTTTCTGCTGCTCGGAAGACGTAGAATTTCATGGCGTATGAGCATTGTGCGAGGGAAGAGTCGGTCACGGTCTGTCTGAGGAGCTGCTTTGCAGCGTCTCCTGTTACTGTTTCGCTGAGGATGGCGAATACTTGCGTATGTTGGCTGTACTGCTCCACTCCCGGGCCGTCCAAGTATAACTGGGAGTTAGACGTGCAGCGCTGATTCACGGCACTCCGGATACTTCGCACCCGCGCCCGATACTCCTCCGCCGTGCTTATCCGCCCGACAAACTCGCACAGCTCCGCCGCATGTAGTAGGGCATACGCATACATCAAACTATTAACAGTGGCCACACCCGCGGTATGATACGCCGGAGGCATGCACGACTTGAAGATCTGCCCCGGAACGAACCAATCCTGCACCCAGTCGACGAACGGCCACGTATCCGGGTCGAACTGGCCCACTAACCCACGATCATCCAGGAGACCCTCAAAATGCTGGATGATGCTATCCACTGTGCTCAGGTACCTGCGCACTAATGTCCTATCCGCAAAGTACATCATGTGGTCATGGACCATCAGGATCCAGAATAACGAGAATTGCGGGATCTGCTTAGAAGCGAAGCCAGTCGGATACTGTGCCATGATCAGTCCGTCTGGTGTTCGACTGGCGTGGAATTCCTCGAGAGTCTTGCGGGCGAGACGGTCATCGGGGGATAACTGGTAGTTGAACAGCATCTGTAGTCGAGAATCGGATGCGAATTGGTTCTGTTCGTAGAAGGGGCAATCTTCGTATGTCTCGTGGCGGCAGTTCTGGAGTGTTCGGAGACTGATCTCCCAGATCTTGTTGAGCTCGGCACCAGCGTCGACTTTGGTGGTGATCCCTAGTGGATAAGATGTCTCTCGCAGAGAGATGCTCGTCAATGTTATTGGATTGGAAGTTGTGGTTATTTCCAGTTGCACGTAGCGAAAACACCGGAACCAGAATGGTTCGAACGAGTGCGTGTCCTGTCCGGAGGTGACAGTATAAAAGTCCTTAACACCATACAGGCGAGCACTCGCGTCCGATCGATTAGATTTGGATCTAGGCATGGGAAATGGTGCGGTCTCCACACCCAGGTCCTTTTCGTAACACTCGGAATACAGGATGCTGATCTTTGCGCCCGCTCCTCCACTGAAAGCGAAGCTGACGAACGCCGTCATCAGCGCCTCGACGCTGAGATCCACGGTGATATGTGTATCTGCTGGGATCACCACAGGCTGGTCCTCCCGAATCAGCGAAGTCCACTCGTCTTCGCTGACAGAACCAGTGGCCTTGACTATTCCATCAAAACTCCCTTCAACCTCCGGTAAATCCGGTATCGGACGCGGTGCCAGCTTCCACGGGCTCACTATAGGAAGCATCTTCACAGCATTGGACTGGAATACCGCCTTATCCCACGTCGCGTCATCATATCCAGGCATTTGCCAACCGGTTATGGTTTGGTCCTCCTCGGCGCGTTCATTGTTTGACAGAAACGGCGGACCGAGCAGGTAATTCCATTCAGTCTGCGGGATAATCTTGACGGATCGTTGCTCGATGCATGTCCATGAGGAGTCACTGGAAATGGCGAATTCGGGATGCGGAGAGTACAGCATGAACCCGGGTAGCGGCATGCTCACAATCGACGAGGAGCCCGGTACGAGGGTAGAATATCGCAGAACACGCGCACTGATTACATTTTCACCGTCACGAAGGTATGGGCGGATATCCACTGTCTCGTAGTACCATTTTCCTGGATAGGACTTGCAGGGACCCCAACTCACGCGGTGACCGTTGACGAAGAGGCGATAGCGACTGTCGGCGGAGACGTGCACAGAGAGGCCTTGTAGATTGTCTGATGGATGCCATTGAAAGGCTTTTCTGAAGAGGAAGAACCGGCCAGGGCGATTATCTTCTTCGAGATAGTGAGGTAGCCAGATCCAAGGGGCTGCGCGAGTCCAGTCGGGTGAAGCCATGGTGACTATTAAGGACTAGATGATTGTCCTGCGTTCAATCTGACAGATTACTTTTCATTCATCGAGGACAGGAGAGCCCTCACATGCTGGAGTATAGCCATCCTGCCTGTTTGTTTTTCGAAGCCAAGCAAGAGTTGCTCCAAGTCGGATATCCCGCTCGGTGGGGATTGCCCCGAATCCGATACCGGGTCAGTGCTTAGCCTAACCGTAACCTTGGTATGGACCATGTAATGCGGGGAGAGCATCCTGTGACGTCACATGACACGTCGCGTCCTCGGAAGATCCGGGGGATTATGCAGAGAAGATGGAAGGGAAGCAGAGGAAGCTCTATTGCTGCTTGGGATAGTGAGAAAAGAGCGAATGGAATCTGTAATAGGCATCTATTGAAGGTTGGTGAGGTGTTCTTTGGTTTCATCCCTTTGCGACCTGTGCCAAAACACCAGAATATATATTAGACCGGCATATTGCAATGTCTGTGCAGTAGGAGCTGTAGATTTCAATGATGAAGTGAATATACTAGGTACGATTTAGTGATATTTACATTATAATAAAAACACTAGAAATAATAGCAGATGACATGTCAAGCCAACAACTCGACGATACTTAGTATGCTGCTATAATGAGAAACAGCGGGACCATCATGTCGGGTGGTAGGTATAGTAGACGATGAACCATCTGAGAATGAACTGCATACTATGCCAGCTGCAGTTCTAGTCAGTCCATGACGAGGAAATGCTATCATGAACAAAAGTCTCACCTCTCGCCACCCCCGCGGTCGCCTGACAACCCTGGTTCCGGCAACCCATTCGCCCCTGCACCCTCTGCTTATAATAGCCACGGGACCCTGCACACACTACCAACTACACTATATCTGTAACTGCCAAAAGACAAATCCAACCACATTAAACTAAAACATCCATCATGCATCAAATGCTCATCGGTCGCTCCCGACCAGTCGTCGGCAACATCAGCCAAAGACTGCAGTCGGCGGGTACGCTGCTCCCTGTGCCATGAATGTTTCAATCTCAAGATCAGCAGCTGAATGCGTCAGACCCTACCCAACGACGACGACATATCATGCGGTCGGATACCTATCGCAAGGATAGCTCGGAACCCGGCCATATCCCCGTCAGCTCCTTACGCGTGCACGGCGCCGCCTGGGCCGTGGCTGGCGCCAGCATGTACGCTACCCTGCATGGGGTCTACATGATGCTCAAGTCCTTCCGGCAGATTCGCTACATCTAATCCTGTCATTTCTTTGAAGAATGGAACTTGTACATGTGTTGATTTGAGCGATATGGAATGACATTAGTTTGATTAATTACCAGAACTTGTAGGATTAAGAAGTATTGGAGAAGGTGGGGTTCTGCAGTGGTCTTGAAATAGTCTCGAACTGGTAAAGGTGGTTAGACTTGCACTCTTAGATATCAGCAAAAAGACCAGTCCTGTGCTGTTTGTCCGTCCGCGCGTAGGAGAGCAATATGTCGCACTTAGGATGGAGCTAACATCTGGCTCCACCACTACAGCTTTGGAGGTAATAATGGTTTCATGCGGTTAGTTATAGTCAGCTGATGTGATAGCTATACCAGGTATCGTTTCGTCATGAGCAACAGATAGAGTAGAGCCGAGACGCCGAAGGTCGAACCTAAGCTCAGTGACTGACACTACCATACCCCAGAGAGTAGCGAATTGCGAACAACTCTTCTGCATAGCTGCAATGCTGGCTGCTGGAAGAGGGTTTGTTGAACTGACTGACTGCAACTCTACGTGAAATCACGTCCGTGGTAGCTATTATTATTGACGTAAGCAATAATTGCGACACATATACCGTCGCCAACGGCGACTTTCAACTGCATCAAAATGTCTCTTGTCGAATGGGACGTCTCGGACAGAATGAGGAGTGAAGGACTCCTGAATTGCGATGCGTTGATCGAACCGACTAACCCCTGCATGGGTCCGCCAAAGTCGACCGGCTGATGATCAGTACAAAGACCCCATCAACTGCTCCTATGGTAAAGTAGTGGCAGTCGTAGGCGAAAGTCCCGGAACATGTTTCAGTGAGGATGTGTCGCATATCCATCGCCTGTTCCGGGGTTGCAGCAGAGGATAGCCAAGATGTGTGAGCGATTTGGACACTATTGCTGACAGTAGCGGCCGAAGAAAAATAATAACTGGACCATGAAGACAGCAGTGTTCTATTTGTTAGGACAATAACTGCTTTGCCAAGAATAGAGGCTGCGGAAGTTGATTGCCTAGGATGGAGAGGTCACTTTGTTCTGTTCTTTCTGTCAACAACATTGGTCGATAATATTTCCGAGGTATGTAGCTATGATGCAGAATGTGAATATGAGAATGGGACTACAATCATGGCAGATAGACAGGCACATATATCTTGATCAGGATCAGGAGAATGAAAGTTTGTTGATGGGTGTTAGAATAGGGCTCTTTCATGTCGTGACGTCATGGACCAGCTTCTCATGGAAAATTCACATGGATTGAACCACCAAAAGCACACAGCAACACAAGAAAATTCCCTATGAGTGCTTTCTGCCTTTCGATTAACAGTGGAAGGTTTCACCATCAGCCACTGCAACCTTGATCGGCACCAGTAGACTCACGGCGCCGCAACCCAACTCTGACCTGGAGCCATTCCTCAAACCTTCCTTTCCCCTTCTCCCCCCTCCAGACACCGAGCCCATGCAGACAATAACCCGACATAACGCGATGGGTGGCCACCCAGACGTGTCGGCCCAGCAGCTGGCCGACATGATGCCTATCGGGTTGGCAGTCCTTGATCACCAGGACGGGTCCGTCTTTGTGAACAAACGCTTCTTGGAATTGACCACCTGCACCTCCGATCGTGCCTTTGAGTGCTGGTGCCAGTCCATCCATCCCGAGGACTTCGATCGCGTGGCAGCAGCATATCGAGAAGCCTCTCAGTCCTACCATGCCCTCCGCATCGAATACCGTACCCGGTTGCAGCCGTGTCTATGGCGCGTGTGTTTGTTGACGCCACTGGAGGATGAGGAGGAGCGACAACGATTCAACCTGGGACCGGAAGGGGGCTTCGTTTGCACCATCACCGATATCACACAAGAGAAGACGGCGGAATTGACGCAGCGTCGCATTGCTCACGAGGCAGAGGACCGCAAGCAACAACAGGAGCGCTTTATCGATATGATCAGCCACGAGGTGCGCAACCCGCTATCGGCCATCCTCCACTGCACTGAGGATATCCTGGAGGCTGTTCATTCCCCGGATATTGGAGAGGAGATGCAGACGCAGATCGCTGAAGCAGCCGATACCATCAGTCTTTGCGTGGCGCACCAGAAGAAGATCATCGACGACGTACTAACCTACTCCAAATTGGATGCTGCCATGCTGACGCTATCTCCCCGACGCGTGCAACCGCGCCGGAATGTAGCCACCGCGCTGGCCATGTTTCGTCCGGAGCTGCGTAAACATGATATTCAATTCTCCTACCAGCTGGACCATTCCTACGCCAACTTGGACATTGATTGGGTCATGGCGGATATGGATCGCATGAGCCAGGTCCTCATCAATCTGCTCTCTAACTCCATCAAGTTCACCGCCAATTCGGGCGACGACAAGCGCATCCGCGTCTCCATCGGTGCGTCTACCCAACGGCCATCCTCCTATCCTCCGAACGTGGTTTTCTTTGACTCCGGCGAGGAGGCACTAAAACTGGACGCGACGTCACAACCCGAATGGGGCGCGGGTGAATACGCGTTTCTGATGGTGGCCGTGAAAGACAATGGGATTGGAATCAGTGACGAGGCGCAGAAGAGGTTGTTTGAGCGATTCAATCAGGCGACTCCGCGCACCCAAACAATATATGGCGGATCGGGACTAGGTCTGAATGTCAGTCGCAAGCTGTGCCATTTGCACGGCGGAGAGATTGGCGTCAGTTCTAAGGAGGGCGAGGGAAGTACGTTTGGATTCTTTTTCACAGTGCGACGCACTGCAGCGGGGCCCGGGGATGACCCTAGCAAGAGCAACGGAACCGCGGAGATTGACCGGATGTGCAGCCAGATCCAAGCAATGGGCAACGAGATGAGTGGAGTGACCGAGCGTCATGCCCGACCACGCATTCCCGAGAATCCCTCTGTCACTCACGTCCCGGAGATCTCGCGACACGCCAGCCGAGACAGTCGGCGGCTGCATACAGTGAAGATTGCCAGCGGAGTCTCCTCCCCGGCGTCGAGAGGTTCACCTGTATCAGAGGACGAGGATCATCAGGCCCCCGAAAAGCCGCGAAGTGAACCGCGGTCACACCCGCGCGAACGGCGCATTTTGTTAGTGGAAGACAACGTCATCAACAAGCGCATCCTCTCGCGCAAGCTCCAGACCTCCGGCTATCACGTCAGCGAAGCGAGTAATGGCCAGGAGGCGGTAGATGCGGTCCAGCAGCAGGGAAGTTTTGACTGTGTACTGATGGATCAGGTCATGCCCATCATGGACGGAACAACGGCTTCCCGGGCCATTCGCCAGTTGGATGGTCCCATGGCGCAGGTCCCTATTCTCGGGGTTACAGCCAATGTGCGGACGGCTCAGAAGGATGAGATGCTGGCGGCGGGGATGAACGACATTATCTACAAGCCGTATAAGATGCCGGATTTGATCGAGCGGATCAAACAACTGCAGCAGAAGGGTCAGGAATGACCCGATGGGCCATCTGTGGAACCACGCCGTACGACTTTGGCGGGTGGTATGGGATCATACACCTTTGGAAGGAATTGGCATATGGATACCCTGCGAGAGATTATGGGAACCAACCAATCAACGATCGTGACGAGGGTTAGCTCATAACGCATTCTCACCCAGAGTTGTACATTGCGTCGCGGCGGCGGGCCTTCGGAGGATTCTTCACTTGCAGGGTTAGCATCCAGAAATTACTGAATTTTGCGTCTTCATAGGACGAATCATGTCAATAGCCTCGATTGTGACACAAGCGATGAATATGCGGCGCATCTAGAGTGGACAGACAGTTGACAGGGTAACACTAAATACCCTGGTCCCTGAGTGCGGGAAGGGAGAAAGCCAACGCCGAAACAGAGACGGCGGCACTCGGTGTCACGCCAAAGCTTTTCTGGTGCTGATCTTGGACGCTGGTTTTGCGGAGCGAGAAGAGCCAGATGACTGCTTCGTTATCGTTGCTCGGCGCGTCATTACCATATAGTGGGAGAATAAGCAGCCAGGCTGGGTTGCTGGTTGCGAGGTTGGTACTTTCTGTTATAACTTCGAACGATGAACGACAGTCGGAATCGATACATTGATGCGCTGTCAATGGAACCTTATCTTAGTATCATCAATCCAAGTATGGGTACACGACGAGCATAACCGCCGAAGGTTTCACTCCGGACTCCGACGAGGATCGACACCTCCCAGCTCAAGATTAAGTTGAAGGTTCAACCTGGATATCAAGAGCAGTCTGATAGTCATCATTCATTGATCCGTCAGCCATTCGGTCGGCCATAGGATCCGAATGAATCGGGACTTCGCTTGCCTGAAGCCAGTGGACCTAGAAAGACACCAACTCACGTATCAACCTTGGACGAGCGAACCTTGTTTCGTGTGAGAATTACAGGCTGGTTCTTTGCAAATAAATCCAGCGCGAATCCAATGCAGACCGTTGTGGAGTAGTCTACATTTCAAGCATCCTGAGCTGAAGAAGGAACAACGCTAACGCCATGGAGAAAGTCAAGTATCGTTGTCGATCTGTCCACCCTCTTACTTGCAATGCCATGGTCCTCACCGGGCTTATTGTGGACGCACATCTAGATGAAATCGTATTGAGGCAGACAGCGACTCAGCTGGTGAAGGCGTGGCCCGTCTTGGGAGGGCAGCTTTACCGGTCGGTCAGTGATTAGTATCCATCATGTAGCCCCGGGCGCAATGCCGATTTTCTGAACTGTGAGACAGGGCCTCCCGTATACACTTTCCACTGGCTCGACTGTCGACCTTGCAAGTCGGACGCTTCCCAAAGGTGCAACATCCTGGAAGCATGGCGTGCTCCAGTCTAGAGAATGCAACCAACCGACGGTTATTGACGCCCTCGACCCTGAAGAACTGGATGCTGCTTTCATCTTCAATGTACCTGCCAGACCTGCGAATACATTCCTCATCCGCGTCACGCTTCTCCAGGACGCCACCCTACTTTGCTTTGGCATCAGCCATCATCTGGCCGACGGCACTGCCGCCTACGACGTAATTCGGGCCTATTGTGACCTGCTCGCGGGTCGGCCTATCACATCTCCGCTGCTACCACCCGATGCTTGTGGTCATCGAATGTCCGACCGAGTGATACTCAACGACGCGCAGGAAAGGTTGGTTCGATCCATAACCTATGCAGAGCATCTGTCCAACTTCACCATTGGGTTCTGGTCGATTCTACTACTGATAGTGAGAGTGGTCTGGTGTCTACTGCTGCGCAAGCTATGTCTGCAGGAAACCTTGGAGGAACGGTACATTTACCTGCCGGATAACTGGGTAGGCGCCATGCACAGACGAGCACTCGCTGCTTTCGCCGCCGCGCCTGTGGGTGCCCAGCCGACCAGGAACAACGTCATTAATGCATGGTTCCTCAAAACGGTCTATGGTCCCCTTCCGAGCAGTCGAGCTGACATGTATTTCTATGGTCCGCTCAGCTATCGGCGTGTGGTTAAACCTCCCCAGCCAGGGACCTACTGGATTCATAACAGCATCGGGCTATTGCGGCACAAGCTGTCGGTGTCTCAGATCCAGAATGAGCCCGTAGCCATGCTAGCAGGCAGGCTCCGTTTAGCCAGCTTGCGATATACCTCTCCGGCGTCCATCAAGGCGTTCCTGCGCATGTGCGAGGATCATGTGTCGCAATGGATGTTGCCTAAAATTCCCGCGAAGGGAAGGATGCCGATGGTTATGATCACCACGTGGACAAGTTTCGATTTCTCAAGCCTGGACTTTTCTGGAGCTGCATGCGATCAGAGCAAACCAGTCAGAGTTCTCTTCGTGCACCCCCTTGTGCGGAGCCTACGACAGGGAGTGTGGCCATCGGCATATACGCTGAAGTGTGCGCAGGAAGGTGGGTACTGGCTGCGAGCCTGGAACACTCCATCGGGATGGAAGGAATCCAGTCAAATGGTGAATGTCGATGCTCTATGATAGTTCAGCCTGGTGAAATTCATCTTAGGTAGATAGCTATTCCCCCTAGAAATCCATACTTCCGTGTAATATACCTCTTCAGAAGTGAGATGATATGTTATTGTGGGACTAGTAGTAACTTTAACTCCCAATATATATTTCTGATCTATGCCCTGCGATACAGTAGGATATAATCTTGATCTGTCCGCAGAACCTAGAATTCCTTCAATGGTGACATTCGATGGTTCGCAGAAGCGAGCACTAGCCGCCGACTGAGGCAATATCAGCAGGAATTCTTGGTACGAGTATGCACCATGATGCCAATTGATCGACGTCTTCATCGGACTACTATTAATTGCTCCCAGTCGGGTTGTCTTCTCCGCAGGGCCATCTAACCCCAATGGGGAAATGATTGTCGCTGCGTAGAGCGGAAAAACATTCCGTGTCAGACTCCAATCCCGCGAGAACATTTTATGAGGAAGAAATACACGCCATGTACTCGACAGGAATTTCAATCAATTGTACATATGCTGAACGATTAACAACACTCTTCTCCACTAAAATTGCAACAAACCATGACATCAACAGAATCTACAGCGAGGAACCCGCCGGTGGCCGCTTGCTGGGGAATCCGCCATTGGGGTGAATGATAACCTTGGTATAACCGTCCACGCGCTTGTCGAATTTGTCATATGCCGTCTCGGCCTCTTCAATTCCAATCTCATGAGACACCACGAAGCTAGGGCGCGCCTTGCCGGCAATGATCAGGTCTCGTAGCTGCCGGTTGTAGGCCTTCACGTTACACTGGCCCGTGCCGAGGGAGAGTCCCTGCTCACAATGTCAGCATCAGTGCATCCTATCCCAAAAGACCAGACGTCTACTATACCTTCTCGAAGAGCTTGCCAAAGCTGAGGCTAATCATCCCCTTCGCAGCCGACGCATCACCCGCACCGGGGTCACTGGGTCAGTCATCAGCCAACATACTCCATCGTAGTCCGAAGCCGGAGTGACAAACCTAGGAACGTAGAGTCCGGGAATACCCAGTCCACCACACGCGCGAGTCACGCGAATCATGTTCTCAAGCACGATGTTCGGTTGCTCGGTCGAGTTATCTTTACCGACAGCTTGGTATCCAACAGCATCCACGGACCGATCCACCATATCTCCGTTGTGTGCAATGATCTGATCGACGGCATCGCCCGCGGTGAAATCAATGGGGGTGGCACCGATCCGCTCCGCTGCCCTCAATCGTTCGGGGACCCGATCTACCACGTACACGCGAGATGCACCGCGCAGCTGGGCGGAGTATGCTGCCATGAGACCAACGGGGCCGGCCCCGAAGACTGCTACGCTGTCACCTGGCTGAAAGCCCGATATTTCAATGCCGTGCCATCCTACTCATATTAGCGGATGTAGTATAGAGGGTGGGATCAACGGGGTTCGTGGAGGAATATACCTGTGGGGAAAATATCTGGTATGCCTATTAGTCAACCGATCAACCAAAAGTGAGAGCATCGACTGCCTACCTGCCAGCAGAATAAAGTCCGCTTCGTGTTCGGTTCCTGGGGGGAGCTTCAGGGCATTGAAATCAGCGTAGGGAACCCGCAGGTACTGTGCCTGGCCTGATGGTTCACTCGATTAGCATGGATCTCTCTAATAGTAAGGGGGCAACACAGACCTCCACGGTAGGGTCCCATAGCCACGTATCCTGTGGGATTCAATGTCAACGCGGAAACACGCACGGCGCTCACTCAGAAGAGACGAACCGTATGCGCCACCAGCGAAGCCAGGATTCACACCCGTGCAAAACGCTGTCTTCCCTTCCTCACAGTTCCGACAACGACCATCCGCAACGTTGAATGGCATGACCACACGGTCGCCCTTCTTCAGTAGGGTGACTCCTTCCCCGAGTTCTTCGACAAGACCGAGATTTTCGTGTCCTAGATTGTTACAACCACATCAGCGTGGGTAGAGATATAAGAGTAGGGTTGAAGGTACCAAAAGTGATGCCTGGCTCTGCCGCCGTCCTTCCTTCGTACATGCTGGGGATGTGTGAGCAACATCTGTGGACGAACTCTCTTCTACCCTACTCCCCAGTTGCACTCACTGCAGATCAGAACCACAGATGGCTGCCTGTTATGGCTGTCAGTAACTGGGCGGAAATCGTGCTAGTCTACACAACATACACTGGTAACCTTGACGATAATGTCATCGGGGTGCTCCAGCTTCGGCCGCTCCACCTCCTGGACCTTGACCGTGAATGGCCCGACATAGTTCAATGCCTTCATGGATTGGACTGCCATTTTTGCTCAAACTGATGAAACAAATCCGTCAAAGGCAATGGTAATTGCAGTGATGTTTGCTAAATGCCGGCCATTCTACATATTTATGGGGGGTATAAATCAATCGAGGAGTGGGGTGAGGGGAACGACATGAGGAGTGGGGGGAAAAGGTGGGGGAGGGGCGAGACGTAAAGACCAGTGGACCGCGTCTGGCTTGTCGATGCTGACCGGGTGCGGAACAGAATTCCCAGGCCGAACATTGAACCGGCTTTAGATGGACAAAGCAAGTTGACGTTGTGATCCATGATGCTGTAGCCGTCCTTCTCTGGGCAACCCGGGAGGAGTTGGCCGTAGAAGGAGAACTCATCCGCGGGCACATCCTCGACGCTAACCCGGAGGGGACTAGTCGCTCGGCCGTCAATTGGGGAAAGTGGAGCGGCCATGGCGGGTTAAATTCCCCGATCGGTGATTTCCCCTGTTAGGAAAGCATCAAAGGAATCCAGAGTCACTTCCAACAGGCAGATCACGATGGCGACATCTACGGAGACCTCCAAAGCATGGCATTTGGTGGTAGAACTAAGCGTCAAGGATCGGCTCTTTGTCATCCATATCCAACCGATTTATAGCTCCGCTATCTCCTCGCAGCCTGCCGGACAAGCTCGTACCAAGCAAGCAAGCAATTGTTGCCCGCGTGCCCTTCAAGAGACCAGCCAAATCCCTATAAAGCTTGCACCTTCATAATTCTCAGTCATGGTTGTTATCTCGCGTTTCAGATCCCTCTGGGGTATTGATCCCGGTCCGGAGCAGTCCGAATGGAGCAAGAAGTTGGTTGAGTTCAAGGCTCACGGCTACGGTAGGCTAGCGCCTGCACTGCAATGCCCCCAAAGGCTAAACTAACGAGATATTCTAACAGATGGAATTGAGATTGATTTTGCTTTTATGACACCCGAGGAACTGCAGCTTCTCCGCAAGAATTGTGATGAGGTGGGCCTGGAAATTAGCATTCTGTCAGTATCTCGACTATAATGTAGTAGCTGCCCAGTGGAACGGCAATTGAGCTGATTGCTTTGCAGCCTCTTCTCCGCATGGCCAAAATATGTCGGCCCCCGCCCTCGTGGCTTGACCCCAGATGCTCACCTCGAGTTCTACCGAGGACAACTTCGCCTAGCGACCATCTTAAAGCCCGTGGTTATCAATGCACAATCCGGAGCGTACGATCCCCTCCACTCCGAGTATACCACGATTGAGATATTGACTCGCTATCTTCCTCAGAGATTACTGGAGCTTTGATGAATCTGTCTACTTCTACCAAAAAGCTCTTCAGGTAGAAAAGGAAGAGGGCTTTGAGGGCATAGTCTGCCACGAAACGCACCGAAACAGATCTCTCTTTAACCCTTATTCGGCCGACTACATTCTGCAGAGAGTTCCAGAGTACGTAAATCTGGTTATGGGTCTTTCCCAGTCCGATACTGATTATGCAGGTTACGTATCACTGCCGACATCTCACATTGGGTGGTTGTCTGCGAAAGACTCCTAGATCAAGGCGAAGAAGACCGTGAGATCCTCGACCGCGTGATCCCACGTGTAAGCCTGTCCCTCGTTCGAACGGAAGTAATACAGAATCAATGATTGACATATCTATCAGGTTGGCCATATCCATGCACGTATGGGAACAAAGCAGTCGTCACAGTGCCCAGAGCCTCTAAACCCTGCATTTGCTCCCGAGAGGCAATTCTTCGAGGAACTGTGGCTTCGAATCGTCAGGTCAAGACAGCAAAAAGATCCTAACTGCCGGATCACATGGGTTCCGGAGTACGGGTGAGTAGCGATTAATCCGTGGTTGTTGAGCATCCTAACATTGTACACAGTCCATTCCCATATCATCCAATCGGAACTGCTCACACCTATGAGGAGCTGGCGGACAGTGAAGGAAAACGACTGCAAGCGCTATTTGAGTCGGCTGTTGCGCAGTCATAGTATGTGATGATCATTTAGTCTGGAACATAGATACTACTGGAATAGACAGCAACTAGACTACGGCTGTGTGCTGATCCCAGACCTCTGCAGTCAAACTAGTAGATTAATATATACTACTGTTCTGTAAGACGGACATGCTATCAATGATAACACGCGTTAACTTCGCCAACTGGTGCATATATGACAAGGTGTTGTTTGAGACTCTGGTAATGGCTTTGCTTCTCTTATTTCTTGCACCCTGATGTTGGTTTTCTTTCAATGACTGGCGCAACATACTCAATCCCAGAAGGCACTGAGAACATCCAACAGAGGATGATTCTTCTTTCTTCTAATACATCTCAAACGAGATATGACTAGATGTAAAAATAGTTTCATGTGATGATACGGCTATAATATATGTCTTTCGGAAAGGTGGCAAAGATATCGATAAGGTGTCTTTTAATCAGACACGCTACGGATCAGGGCTTAGCACCTAAGGAGTAGTTTTCATCAACTTATAGTTGTCCTTTGATACATATTTCAGAGAGTCCAGGCCGTCGACAAAAGGCACATTGCAACAGAAATTACTCGTATTCATCCAAAATTGGTAGCCGAGGGCCACGCAAGCTAATGTAGTGAGGGAGTGAGTATAAAGTATTTAATATTCAACTCCTTGTCTTCGTTTCGGATAACAAAGGATTCATAGCTCCTCGACTAGAGTGATCGTTGGATTATCCCAAACGAACTCCCGGAGCTAGAACTTGGTATCATGGGTGCAGGATCTGATATCTCAACCATCCATTAGACCCAATATCCTGGAAATATGTGATAAAAGCCCCTTCGTTGACGTTGACGTGTGAAAGGACGAACTGAAAGCATAAGGACGAGAAGTTTCTTCTGCTAACAAGGGGCCTTTTTAGTAAAACATGGAATCCCTGCTACTATTATGCATGGAACTCCAAGCCGACCCTCGCATTGCGGAGTGCCCTACAAACCGGCCAGAGGAAGGAATGTACGTCGACTGGTAACTACGTCAATTCAGTGATTAACAGACCAACCAGCCTAATAGACACGAAGAAGATCATGTAGCCGTGTCTGCAGGATGTCTACTAGTTAGCCAGTAGCGTTAAAGCTGTGTTACGTACATGACCAACCAGTGTGGTCGAGGGATAGCATTTGTTATACTGTTAATGAGAATAAGCAATGGAGGCCTCAACGATATGCAGGCCAGAAGCTACTTGGTGGTGGTGGAGGCGTCTAAAAAGCCGTTGAAGGGCGTACCCATTCTTGGATGTCTATTGGGTTTTCGTCACGTCTTCTGGCTCAGACGTATGACTTCCTCCTTATTCGCTCTATAAATCATCGCTTTGCTTCAAAGTGGCAGATGTATGAGGTGTGAGTAAGTGAGATAACATTACTGCTACAAAGAAATACGGGGGCATTTCTTCATTGAATCAGTTTATGCATCATCTTCACTCCAGCTCGTATTCCCTGATGGTGTGGGCAAGCAAGGTAACCCCTAATGATTACGATGGATCTTCAACACCTGCATCCAGAGAGGTGTCGAGCGCAACCGAAAGAATCTATAGTCTAACTCACAAATGGCCCACAAATGCATAGAGGATACACAAAGATCTGCTTCGTAGCTCACAGCGGTTTTTGAACCACGAGAGAACCAAGCATGAAAAGCGGGGCAACTATCCTGTCACGTCGCCTTTCACCGACAATCACTACGACTTTGAGAGGGAAGGTCTGAAGTTAGCTCGAAAGGTTGCATGCCGAGTGATCCGGTAAAGATACGCTTTTTGCGCTAGAAACTTTCAACGCAAGACTTTCAGTCAAAAGGTAGGGAAAGGGAAATTAACGATGCCCGATCATCCTATTCTGCAGCCATACTATGAGCTTAGTGCAGAATGCACGACGCCCCGATAGAGCTACAAAACATCAAGCATTCGTGAATGCAAACTGGTGCACCCGACAGGAACGACGATCTACTTCAAAGAGGTCTTGTTATGACATGAATGATGGCCCATGGTCATTACCTCCGGGATCCCGAATGAATTGAGATTTGGGGATCGTTTTTGGTAGAACCCCAGTCTGGGCATAGCGGCTATAGCCGACTCAAGCTAAAGCACAGGATCGAGAGGGGGGATCGGCGTTTCATAGCATTATAAGCTGTATCCGCTAGACTGTATACAGCGCAGAGACCTACGTGACCCTCACATTTTAGAATTCCCAATCAGATTTGTAATTCATATTGCTAATCCTGACAATTAGTTCTCTGCGGGACGCTACCGAGCAAAACCTGTGACCAGATGCACCTGTTCTACTGCCCTGAAAGAGATACTCCGAGCCGATGCCTTGTATTCGCACAATACCTGCAGGCGAATAACTAGCGCGCAATTGGATATGGGCTGATTGGCCGATGCATTAATTTGCCAGACGCTAGCAGGGCTGATTGAGCTGTACAGGGAGCTCCTGCTCATGCACGCGTTCAAGATGTGATTGGAGATTGCAGCATGCTGTGGGTTTGGGGGGACATGGAGACCGACATTTTCACCATTTTGGGAAGGCGACCTTCAAAGCTACAATACTTCATGGCTCCATCACTTTGGTTATTATGAGACCGAGAAATTCGATGAGAATTAATATTTTCATAGAAAACAAGAGCCAACATGGACAGAAACAAAATATGACAGCTAACAAAGGTTTCAGCGCTCTTGGGTGATGATCAGCGGCGGTTAGATCCGCGAGATCTGCAATTATAGTGGAAACTGTAAGGATAAAATCACATAGCCATGGTCAGGATTTTGGTTCGGCGATCCGAGGGACATGCCTCGGTCAGCACTAAAACATACAAGCTGCAATATTCAGAGATCAGGCATATTAGGCGCAAATCTTCTAGTTATGAATTGTGACGCAACGCCGCTCATCGTTTGATTCCGCCAGATCAATCAATCCCTCATCACAACACCGCCTTGTCCATTACCTTCACCATGCGATTCCTACAAACCGCCCTTGTGGCTGCAAGCATTGCTCTATATTCACCTACCCTGGCCCAAGAGTTGTCCGGTCAGGGGTACATTCAGGTGGCCTCTGAAAATGGAGTGGAGTATCTTGGATGCCTCACCAATAGCGGTCAGTGGGACCTTTCTGCCTGTGCTGCGGTCACAGCCCGTGGAGGGGGTCAGCTGGTTACCCAACAAGGAAACTACTACACTCTCACCGAATCGTTAGACATCACTGTGACTCCGGACGCTGGAGCTGCCAAATACTGGTCTAGCACGGGCTACAATGCTCTTGTAAGTAAATGGGTAATTCACACAACAAGGCTTGGATACTAATAATCTCCCGTACAGGGTGAGCCAAGCAAACTTGAGGCCGATGGTGGTGTTGAACACAATGGGGGAGGCGGCCCGTATTGGTATGCGGCCGCTGAGCCTACCCAAGGCACCCCCGTTACCCTGAGTGCGGAAGAATCGGATGGGGCCCAGCGTGTAATTCTCGTCTGGAGGTCCAGCTATTAGAGGATTTGCTCACGGGGCGTGTATATCTAGTCTATTCTACTTTTTTACCTGCAAAAGCTGGTCAGAGAAAGTTGCCAGACCTGTTTCAGAATCTGGTAAAATTGAGGCGGAATGCGCAATGGCATCTCATGAGGGCTTCTTGATTTCTATGTGTAATCGACCCTCCAACTGCGGGCGTCAGCTTAACCCTTCTTTGTATATAGCATGTCAGACCTGCCATTCTATATGCTAAGTATACGCTGCAGTTGCTCTGGTCTCTTTTTGGGGCATCATGTCCACTGGTCCCGGCAAAAGGACAGGCTACCGTGCCTGTAACTCTATACACTTCGATCTGGTGATAGCCAGGGACTCTGAATAGCCACGAATTTCACTATGTACAGTGTGTACAATATCGCATGTAATGGGCCTAGAGCCTAAATTGTAGTATGAAATTGAGGCTCACAAAGTCATCCAATGGAGTTACACAGCATTACGGGAAAGATTTTCTGGGGCCGGGATCTTTCCGGGGCATTCGTCTCTGGAGTTGTCAATGGTTGGTCAAACAAACTGAACCTGTGTGTCCTTTCAGTCGAGTGCCAGATGCGTTGATTACTTGGCCCAGAGGAATGTCTAACGTGAATGAGCTTCTTAATCAAAAAATGGGTCCTGTGTCTTAGCATGTCTTTGTATTCATTATATATTATGTTGAGGCATTCATGTAGGCTAGTCACGTGCTGCGCTCAGACCTCCCACACAAAGCACCTCTACACATTACTTTATTTTACTCTTTCCTAGATAGCTCAATTCAACTAACTCTTTTACTTCATTCATTTATTTGTTTCATTACTTTTATTGCTTACTATAAAATATATCTTAAGAAATTATAAGTCTGGCCTCTATACTATGAAACTATTCAGGACTTACTACAGCTAGCTGCTTGCTGTTAAATAAGATATTCTATTATAAAATATTTATCTTGATAAATCTAATAAATCTAATTAGATTATTTACACATATTAAAAAAATATATTATATAAAACTACTTATCTACCTGCTTATGCCAAGCATGTTAAATAAATAAAATAATATATAAAATTAGATATAATATATTATTCAAGAATCTCTCCCTGGAAGGGGAGGTGGTAATAATAATAAAATTATAAGTAAATAAATTATCTAAATAAATTCCTGATAGTATTCCAGGATTACTGATCTTACTAAAAAAATATATAAATTTCTTAAAATAAGATTTCTAAGTTAAATAAATACTTAAGAATATCAGTCTATTAGACTTGATTAATAAGAGTTTTTCTAAATCTAATAATAAGTATCTAAAATTTAAGATATAGCAGATTTATTTAAGAATTATCTAGTTATAATTAATTTAAAATTTATCAGATAAGATACTAGATTTATTTATAGATTTTACTGATATAAAAAAATATATTAATAATATATATTAAGTACTTTAAAAAATTATTCTTAGATATAATATTATATTATAGCAAAATATTATACATAACCTGTTTAATATAAAGTAATCTTTATATATTATAATAATTAAATTTATTAATAACTTCTAATCTAACTTTACTCTTAGTAGAATCCTGTAATATAAAATACCTGTTTTTATAATAATATTTATATTTTTATAAAAGATACAAACAGACATACCTGTATAAGTAATCTTAGTAAAAAATAAGATATTAGAAAACTTAGATATAATCTGTAGTAATAGTAAATTTTATACTATTTATAGAAATATAAAGAAATAGTATAGTAAAATCAGTAAGTTAAAGATAATAATTACTATAAAAAAAAATTAAAGCTTATTTAATAAACTACCTGTTATTAAGAAAGAGTAAAAAAAAATTATATATTTAATAAAAAATATTTCTTATGAAAAATATACTATTAAAATAAAAAAAATAATATTTAAGTGTATTAACAGAGCCTGTAACTATTATAAATATATTAATTATAATTAAATAAAATATTAATATATTAATACAGCCTCATGCTTAAGATAATAAAAATTATATATTCTAAATATCTAGTTCTTCAGAGAAAAGTATAATAATTATAAAAAAGAAAAATCAGATTTAAATTTAAATATTAATAATTTTAAAAAGACAGTGGCAGCAGTATCTATAAAGTAAATTATAAAAATATTTATTTAATATATTACTCTGCATGAAACAGAGTCAGATAATAAAAATTTAAATATTTTAAATTTTTTAAGAATAGTAGTTAGAAGTACTGCTAACTACTTATTATACTAGATTTATAATATAAATAATTTCTAATATCTTATATCTGATTATACCTTACTAAATTACTATCATGATCTAGATATTTTTAGTTTTTATAAATATAATATTTCTGATAGAGGAATTAGTATTATTAAATTAATTAACTATTAAATCTTATTTTTATTTATAAATAATAAATATATTAAGATCTAGATTAAGATATTTTATTAATTAAATTTTATTTATAGTCTTCTCTCTGCAGACCTCTTATAAAAGAATTTTAAAATATATATAAATATTAAGAATCTGACCCTACGCAGGAAAAAGAATAATAAAATAATAGATATTTATAAATAAATAAAAATATACTTTTTATATATACTCAGGATATAAGATTAATTTTTATTATAGTTAATCTCCTGCTATTATACTAGTAATATAAATATATAAGATTCTGTAAGATTATCTTTATTATAAAGAATTAATAAATTAAACTTGAACACCGCAAGAATCTTTATTATAATATATATTTATTAGAGAAAGTAAAGTATTTAATATCAAGAAATCTTATTTTAAAAATATTTAATCTTATATAACTCTGGCATATGGATATGCAGTAAATCATTCTAATAAATTATAAAAAATTTAAATATTTTCTGGTAATAGTAAATAATATTATATAATTAATCAGAATAGTTATATTAAAATAAAAAAATAATATCTCTACAGAGCTGATTTAGATAAATAATAAATATAAAAATATAGTTAGCAGATATATTACTTTATAGTATTTTAATAAAAACTGTAAATTTAATAGATTCAAAAAATAGATATACCACGAAAATTAAGGAATTTATATTATAATATCAGTATTTAGAATATCTGAAGCTAACAGACTTATTAAATATTATAATAATTTATTTAATTAGATAAGTAGAATTATAATATTTAATTCAGGTCTGTCTTTAATTCTCTAGCTATTTATTATTAAATTTATTATATAAATTTTTAACTGTCTAGTCTCTGTAAAAAATAAAATTAAAAAAATATTTATTTATTTATACAGATTATTCTATAATTTTCTAAATCTTGATATCTTACTTGAGTTTTTATATATATTTAAATACTACTGTTATTAATATATACCTGTAAAAGACTATATTATCTTTAGAAAAATAAATTCTTGTACTGATACTAATTACTTTATCAGATTTAATAAAAATTATAATTATATATATCTTATTTAATATCCTGCTTTAAATAAGATTAAAAAATTAAAAAATATAATATTCTATAAAGAATATATATATAAAGATAACTGTAAAGATCCTGATAAAATAATTATATTTATTTTTAAAAATCTGATTATACTTACAGGAAGTATCTTGATTATATTTAATAAAATAATTTTATAAAATATAAAATATATAATTAATAATATTAAGACCCTCCCTGAGCAGAATAATAATATTAATTTTATATATAAAAGAATAGAAATTATATTTATATTAATTAAATCTACTGAACCTGCCCTTCCTGCCCTGCTTATATCTATTAATCTAATTTACTTAATCAAGAATTTCTGTGATTATGAAGTATTATCTATTAAATATATAAAATATAATTTCTGATTTATTAAATTTAAATCTTTTATTATTATAATCACACTGCCACAGTAATTATAAAAATAATAAAAAGAAAAAGCTTTTTATAGTTAAGAAATAAATAAATAATTATACTAGAATAGAAATCTGATTTATTTTTTCTGTTTATTCTTAAATAATATAAAATTAATATATTAAATATTTATACAGAAGCCATCTTATCTCTATTTATTTTATATTAGAAAAAAGCCATGACTATATAAATTAATAAAATTAAGTTAATAAATACTTATAAAATAATTAACTAACCTACCAGTGCTTGTGTAATCCCAGATAAATAAATATTTAATCTAAAAATTAATACAAAGAATATTATTATATAATTTTATACTTACTAAATAATTTACAGTAATTATTAGATATTTAATATTAATTATACTGAATTCTTTGTCCTGATAATAAGTAAGATTATTCTTAAAATATTTATAACTAATATAGTACTGAAAAATCTTTACTAGAAATAATATAATATTATCTCTGTTTATCTACACATGTAAATAAAAGATAAATAAATTTATATAAAATAATTAACTAATTTCTATAAAAATCTCTCTGAATATATATATTTATTTAAAATAATACTTTATAAATTATAGTAGGCGGTGTACCTGTAATACTATATTTTTAATAAAAAATTATAAAAAGTTAGCTTTAAACCCCTGCCGGAGAATCTGTATATATATAAAAATAATAATATATAATTTATTATTTATATAAATAACTCTGTTATTACTAGTTCTAAGCAGACAGATCTAATCTTAATAAAATATTATCTAAATAAAATATTCAGATTCAAAGAACTAGATAAACTGAAAATTTTATTTAATTATAATATTCTCTATAATTATAAGACAGGCAGTATCTTACTTAGATAATTTATTTATATAAAGAAATATTTTATTATTATTAAAATATAATTCTGCTCAGGTGTTGCCATCTTTATAATATTTATTTATATAAAAATAAATTATACTGAAATATTAATAGAAGAGATTAATATTAATAAATATCAAAGTCTTGTAAACAGATTGAACTGGCTAATTATTAAAATAAAATTTAATCTATATTTTATTATATTTTACTTATAAAAATATATATATACTTT